GACTAAACCTCTACTACGCCCCTGCTTGTAGGACATTTTTAGTATAAATTAAAAATCTGTCAACTGGTATTCTGAACTATAAATGCTAATACACTCATGGGAGAGTATAAGAACGGGATTATCGATTGTGTTGACAAAATTTGCAAAATTTAGTTCTGTTCGGATTTTAGGCATAAAAAAATAAAATGTGATAAAAAATTTATTTGAAAATAATTTTGGAACGGTAAAAAAATCCACAAAACCTGTAAAAAAGATTTTTTGAAAAATTGTTGTTGAGAAAATGTTTTTTCAAATCATAACCTTATTAGAACTGTTACGACTTCAAAAATGGAAATTTTTCAGAAAAATTTGGCCCTAAACATATTTTAGAATTGATTTTTATCACACTTTACTTTTATTTTGCCTAAATTTGGACTTATCAATTTTTTTTTCAGTGCTTAGGAACCGTGGCTTCCAGGATCCGGATCAGTAAAAATATGCGGATCCACGGATCCGGATCCAAGGGGTACAATATCGACCAAAAGATGCATAAAATTTTTTACTCCTAAAACCCAAATCTGAACTTATAAAAAAAAAGATTATAAAAATTTCCTCATTTCTGAATGGTTCATCAAGTTTGAGTATAAAAATAAGGGAAAATAACGTAGATAATCGAGTTTTTGATAAATAGAAGTTTTACTTGGACAGTTTTGTCAAGTTTTAGGATAAGAACAAGCAAAAATAACGTAGATAATCCGGGTGAATAATTTCTTTGTCGTACTTAAATTGTAATGTTTACCAACACGGTGTGTGCAGGGACTGAATTGAAAAAATATAAATTATTCGAAATTTGTCAATGATGGATTCCTAGAATAAGGTTTCTACGAGTTCTAATTAAAGTTTCTTTGTGTCTGAGGAGTCGGCTGTAGCAGCAGCTTCGAAACATCTTATCTGAAATATCGTAGATCGGACCTTCTGAAATATCGTAGGTCAGACCTTCTGAAATATCGTAGGTCGGACATTTGAAATATCGTAGGTCGAACCTTCTGAAAATAATGGGTTCAATTCGTTCAATATGTTGAAGGTAGAACAAACATTTGGATCTACATTCCAATATTGCGCAGAAAAATATTTTGCGTCGAACTAGAACAATATTTCAAAAAATTCAGTCCTCAAACTCAAATGTAGACAAACAAAAGATAGGTCAAATTTAATGAATAGCGATAAGTAGTTTAATCTTAGATTAACCACTACTTCTGTACCCAGGTTCAAGGTAAGTTGTCAGCTCAACTGCTTGTCGCAATTTATTAAATTAGGTTCATGTCAAACTTTATTCATTTCAGAGACTAATCGTCGCTAATGAAGAGAAATATTTATATTCTGATCAAGAGTCTAGAACAAAGTTGGGAACGCAGCATATCACTATATTTAAGTTAAATTTTGTTTTACTGTCCACACATTTCCTAGTTCTATTAACCGTACAAAGGACAACATATTAGAATTAGTTTTCTGTTGACACGCTGAATTTGATTTGTAACAAGCTAAAGAAAAGCAAATAAAGTTCAATTTATTTTTAAAAGTTTGAACCAGGAGTTTTGATGAATGGAACCCTAGACGTACAAAATCTTTCATTTGATATCCTTTTAATAACTATGATCTTTAACAGATGTTCAAGTAAATAAGTAGATAAGAGCGAGAAAGTGATTTATTTCCACACACATTAGAACGATACAATTAATCCTTATCGGTGGTCTTTCCTCCCCTAATTCTACCAGTTCTACGGGCAGCGATCAGACCGACCTTCTTACCAGCAGAAGCACCTCGGGTAACAGTAGAAGCTTTACCAATATGCTGGTGATTACCTCCTCCATGGGGATGCTCAACAGGGTTCATAGCAACACCACGAACCTAGAACAGAGTACAGGTAAACACGTGCCACAAAGACGATATTTTAAAAATGTTGCCATTTTGAATTTAAAGAATGACATCTTAAAACTATCAAAGTCCTTTATTTTAAGAAATCAATTCAGCAGTAAAATAAATAAGCATCAAAAAGATGAGTTAAGTAAAAATGTTAGTAGATTGCCATAACTTACTTCTATATACAACAAAGCAAGGTTTGGTATAATCCAATATTATAATTTTGCATCGTAATTTTTCCGAATATTCATATTCTAGAATGCTCGGTGGTAAGCTAATGCGTCCAGTTATCAAGTTAAATAGTGAATAAAAATTTTGAACAAGAAATTGTGATAATTTTTTAAAAAACTGTACCTTGGGCCAGCAGTTCCTCTTGGCCTTGTACTTGTGGTATGCTCTACCAGCCTTGAGCATAGGTTTGTCAATCCTACCTCCTCCAGCAACAATACCGACCATCGCACGGTTAGCGGAGGGGATAATCTTCTTACAACCGGAGGGGAGCTTCACTCTGGAAAATGAATAAAAATTAGATTTGTATAAATATTTAACTGATTTTTTTGCAATGAAACTACAGGTGAACACTGCTAAAAGAACAAGAGAATTTAAAATATATTTTCAAAAATCAGGAATGACATAAACAGGAAGTTTTATTTATCCGTTAAAATGAGTATCAAAAATTTTCCCTAAATTATCCCCACCCCCCCATAATTAAGGAATAAAAACCGAAATTTTCCTTATTTAAATTGGCTGTGCCATTTCAAGACAGATCAAGTTGGAAGGGATTCCATAGATCCAACCTTCCTGTCCTGCTTAAGAGCTCTAATTTAAATTAATAGCTTAGGTTTATATAAAATACTTCCTTAAAAAAACCTCTCCCTGAATCTTTTCTACTGTTTCTCCTGGTTCTACGTGGTAGTATACCTGGTACGGTTTGTATCTCTGTTATGTGCAATAACAGTTGCGTAGTTTCCAGATGCACGAGCAACCTTGCCTCTGTCTCCAGTCTTCTCCTCGAGGTTGCACACGATGGTTCCCTCTGGCATGTTGCCGACAGGCATAACGTTGCCGATGGTCAGTTGGGCCTTGCGTCCACAGTAGACGAATTGGCCGGTGTACATACCCTCGGCGGCGACGAAGAGCTCCTTCTTGATCTTGTATCTGTAGGGATCCCTGAAGTAGGCTACAGCCAGGGGAGCTCCACGGCCAGGGTCGTGGATGATATCTTTTATGACTCCCTAAACAAACAAAGTAATATTAATTTATTTAACCAACTATACACGTGTTGATTGCCGAAGACTCGTAGACAAGGGGGAAGGGGAAGTAATATAAATCAGAGGCAGGAAAAATAACAGATTTAACATTTAGTCGGCATACTTTTTGCACCAGTCAACTAAAAAAATCCCTTCATTATTAAAACCCAAAAAATCGAAGATAAAAAAATAAATTATCAAATGAAACTTGACAAAATTCAAAATACCTTAATATATCCATTCCTCTCAGCGAAGTCGACGGCTCTTAGCGCGGGCTTCCCCTTCCTGTGCTTAGTGTGGGATACGAACACTGACCCTGCACCCTTTCTCTGGGCACGAATGACACGACCCATTTCTGAAACAATAAAACATATTTAGATAAGCAAACATCAAAACAAAACAATGACGAACAAGAACGTGCGCACAATTGAAATAGAACATTCCCAGAGTACGCTCCTTGTGTAAGCAAGGGCTGTCCTATTGACATGTTTGGCCGCTAGATGCGTTTTCACATAAAATGAGTTGATAGTTAGCATGGATAGCCATAACCTGATCTACATTAAACAGAACAATATTTGGTATAATCTACAAAACCTTATCTTGAATTCTATTTTTGATTTATTGTAGAATGCCAGTTAGTAAGCTTTGGATAATTTAATTTTAACATCTTGTAGTAGAACATTCCCAGGAGACAAGAACATGATCTTGGTTCCTTAGTACGGTAATATCTATAATCTTGCATTCTAACACAATTGAGAAACCAAGAATTGGTCAACCAAGCTAAGTGCGAATGCGTCTAAAAATAACTTCAGTGATCGTTGTGCATGGATTGCCATAACTTACTTCTATTTACAACAAAGCAAGGTTTGGTATAATCCAACATAATAATTTTGCATCGTAATTTTTCCGAATATTCATATTCTAGAATGATCGGTGGTAAGCTAATGCGTTTGAAAATAAACAATTAAAATTTTTATGCTCAATTGATGATTTAGAATTTATGTAGTAGAACATTCCCAGGAGACAAGAACATGATCTTGGATCCTTAGTACGGTAATATCTATAATCTTGCATTCAAGCACAAATGGGTAACAAGAATTGGTCAACCAAGCTAAGTGCGAATGCATCGAAAAATAACTTCAGTGATAGTTGTGCATGGATTGCCATAACTTACTTCTATTTACAACAAAGCAAGGTTTGGTATAATCCAATATTATGATTTTGCTTAGTAATTTTACCGAATATTCATATTCTAGAATGATCGGTGGTAAGCAAATGCTGTAGATTGATTACAATTAAAATTCTTAAAATCAATTGTTAATTCTTAAATTTTGTAGTAGAACATTCCCAGGAGACAAGAATATGATCTTGGATCCTTAGTACGGTAATATCTATAATCTTGCATTCAAGCACAAATGGGTAACCAAGAACTGGTGAACCAAGATAAGTGCGACTGCATCGAAAAATAACATGTTATCGTTATGCATGGATCGCCATAACTATACAAAAACAGCAAAGTTTGGTATAATCCAAGTTCATAATTTGACATCATAATTCTTCCGAGAAATTTATATTCTTGATTATTTGGCGGTACTTGGTCATAGGACTTTTAAGTATATTAAATCTTGTAGTAGAACATTCCCAGGAGACAAGAATATGATCTTGGATCCTTAGTACGGTAATATCTATAATCTTGCATTTAAACACAATTGAGTAACCAAGAATTGGTCAATCAAGATAAGTGCGAATGCGTTTTGACGATTTGACTATTGAGTAACGATTGTGATATTAACTGTGGAATAAAACATAATCAATCGTAAATTTGTATGTGGGGTGAAATAGCTTATTCCTATAGAGGAGTAAGGTTTGGAATCCACAATTATATTTTAGCATCCTTTCCTGATCTATATTCATTTAGTAGAACGTACGATACTTTAGTTAAGATGCAGAACTATTATGAAGAAATAGTAGCGAATACTAAATATTAGAACAATGAGCTAAATAGAATCTGGGGCCCGTCCTAGTGAACGATTTTTGAGCTACCAAGTCATAAAATTGCATGCCCTTAGCTGGATAGATAATTTCCTAATATACGATTTTAGGACCCCCCTTCCCATGGGGCCGCGGCGCCCGGCCCTAAAGCTTGTCCTTGCCGCGGCGCTCGGTCCCTAGCCTGTCCTCGCCGCGGCGCTCGGCCCAGCTTACCCTAAACTAACCCTAAATAAAAACTAAATTTTTTGAAAATTGTTGAATAAGTGGTTATGTATAAAATTGATGAAGAGGGGATGGGGGGGAGCGGTGGGTCTGTCCAAGTTAACGATTAAATTGGACCCCCCCCCCCGGCCCCCCCCCCCTATCAATTTTAAACATGACCAAATTAGTATTTATTAGCATTGTTTAGGGTTAGGTTATGACACTTTCTGGGCCGAGCGCTGCGGCTCGGATGGGCTAGGGGGCCGAGCGCTGCGGACACGGGCTAGGTTAAATTGACACTTTCTGCAAGATCCATGAACAAAATTGATGGAGGTGGGGGGGGGCCTGGGGGGTCCGGAAATCGTTCTCTGGGAATATGCCGGAGCGGTCCAAAAATCGTATAGTAGGACGGACCCGCTGAATAATAACACGTGACCCGACCCCCCCCCCATTGAAGCTTCTAATGTGTAGTATCCATGTGGTAAATTCGCAACAGTCACTGTGAAATAAAAACTTATGAAATACCAAATTATAGAAAAGGCTCTACAACGTGAAGAAAATGGAAATAATACAGAAATTATAATTGTAGCAAGTGAAAAAAAGTTTCACAAATTTTAACGATCGACTAAATCACTGAAAAATAAGTCTGAGTGTTGGAATATATATATTAAAACGAGCACTGTTTCAAAATAATTCTGAGCCTGGGATACACTACCCCAAGCCCGGAAAAGGAACGTGGTAAATGCGACTTTTGCCGGAATTTATTCTAAACTCTCTGCACGAGTCGTCTTCGATTTAGGAACACACTTCGCGGTGAAAAATATCGATTGCACTAATAAACGATTGGACTAACGAACATTCGTTCTAACGGTCGTTTATTCAGTCTAACGTTCATTCGCACTATAGTGTGAATGAATACTTAATTGTTCGATCAAAGTAAAATCCACGTGGAAGGTTTTTATGCACGTGGAGAAATATCCTTTTAAGTTATAATGGAACACCTTCGGCGGTAATGTTACATCGTCTACACGCAACATCCTCCCTACTGAACTTCCGACCTACTGCAATATTGGACCTACGCCAGCTGTTCATTTTTGTAGTATTTGAGGGTTGGGTTAGGTTGAGTCGATTTCTGGGCCGAGCGCTCCAGCTAGGATAGGCTAGGGGGCCGAGCGCCGTTTCTAGGGGGCCTGGCGCTGCGGCCACAAGTCCTTATAGCAGCTTTAAAACACGTGCTAGTAGGTCGGATGTACGTACTATAGCGGATTTGGCGTAGGTCACAAGTGGATTTTAGCGGATTTGCGTAGGTCGGAAAATACACCACCATCGAACTAAAATTTAAAACACCATTTTTCACATTAAACTATAGTTAGTACTAATGAAATATTTTATAGTTCAAATGAACAAAAAATGTTATATTGAACTAAAATTTAAAATTTCACTATTTTGTTCATTTACCCTTTGGGTACAAATTGTTGTACAAGCTGTACAATACATAAGAAATTGAACATAATGTGTGAATATTCTCTCTCCCCCCGCTCCTTACTGTACTGCAGGGACCCTGGAGAAGGATAAATTATATACATAGAAAAGATGTCAACCTGCACAACCTCCTTGGAAAGGTCGTTATCATTTATTTCTGTCTTCTTATCTTGAAATAAATGATTTGTATAACTTTATTGCACAGCTGTATTTCTCTATCAGTGAATGCACTGAAATAATTCTGGTTACAAAAATATAGAGGTTTTTACGTATAGAGAAGATAATCCTCTTTAAACAAAATCTGGTCTATACGACACAAATGAACAATATATTTTAGTGCAAATGAACAAAAAATGTTCAATCGAACTAGAATATAAGATTTCACCCGGATAAATTATAATTATTTAAAGAAAAAAAACAATAGTTCCTGCGCTTCTTGGCCTTCCTGCTCATCCTCATCTATACCACCTCTTCCTATAAATATCATCCTGCTTTTCCTACCCTTCCTGCTCTTTTTATAGCTCTTCTTGCACTTCATTCATTTTCTGGTCTCCTACTCTCATGCTCTTACTCCTCTTCCATGCATTTTCTACTCTTCCTGCTTTTCTTGCTCTTCCTGATATTTCTGATCTTTCTGATAATCCTAATCTTCCTACATTTTTTCTCCAGTTGTGCATATTCAGCTAATTTCATTTTCCGGCTATTCCTTTTTTTTAGGCTATACCTACATTTTGAACCCAATTCATCATTTAAACATAAACGTTGAAATGAATCAGATTCTTATATTTGACCCCCAAAATCACACAGACGTTGACCGTGTAGCGAGGACCTGAGACTCTGTACGCAGAAAGCAGAAAGGATTACATCTAGTCATACTTAACATGCAGGTCCTGATCCTAGCTAGTACTCTGTAAACTATATTCATCACAGCTACAGGATAATATAAACAAACTCAGGAAACTACAGATATTAAACATGTGAAGCAAAATGTGAAGATGAAAAACAAGTGAATTGTGAATTGGAAAAGTTGCATTTATTAAAAAACATTATGAGGATTAACGTCCTTGTAGTTTTCCTCTCACTTCATCTCAGAAACTTATCTTGTTATGATAATATTGATACTGATGATGATTCTGGGGAAATCATTGATAAATCTGAAACTGATTATGAACTTGAACCTGAACCTGAAAACATGGATATCTCAGATTGTGATACAGGAACTTTCGAGATATGAATGATAATGTTTGATAACTCTTATTTAAAAGAAAAAAAACAAGTTTTAAAAAATTTTTAGGATTAAATATCAACATTAAGATAAAGCTATTGTGTATCAAGTGTTAGTTAGGTTTAATAAACAAAGTGATAAAGAATGTTAGTCCTACATGAAAAACGGATTAAATAACAACAATGAAAATGACTCTTATGAGGGTTCTTTGGGATAAAAACAACAAAGAAATACAGATATAAATAAAGATGGCTTTGTTGGACTAGATAGCAATAAAGAATAATAGATAAAGAAGGTTCTGTGGGATTAAATACCAACAAAGAGATACAGATAAAGCATGTTCTGTGGGATTAAATAACGACAAAGAGATATAGATATAAAGAAGGTTCTGTTGGATTCAATAACAACAAAGAGATGTAGAAAAAAAAGGTTCTGTGGGATTAAATAACAACAAAGAGATATAGATAAAGCGCGTTCCTTGGGATTCAATAACAACATACAGATATAGATAAAGAAGGTTCTGTTGGATTCAATAACAACAAATAGATATGGATAAAGGAATGTTCTGTTGGATTAAATAACAACAAAGAGATATAGATAAAGCGCGTTCCTTGGGATTCAATAACAATATACAGATATAGATAAAGAAGGTTCTGTTGGATTAAATAAATACAAACAGTTATGGAAAAAGAAGGTCCTGTGGGAGTCAATAACAACAAACAGATACAGATAAAGAAGGTTCTGGGGGATTAAATAACAACAAACAGATATAGATAAAGAAGGTTCTGCAGGATTAGATAACAACAAACAGATATAGATAAAGAAGGTTCTGCAGGATTAGATAACAACAAACAGATACAGATAAAGACGGTTCTGGGGGATTAAATAACAACAAAGATATAGAGATAAAGAAGGATCTGTGGGATTAGATAACAACAAACAGATGCAGATAAAGAAGGTTCTGTGGGATTAGATAACAACAAACAGATATAGATAAAGAAGGTTCTGCAGGATTAGATAACAACAACCAGATATAGATAAAGAAGGTTCTGTGAGATTAAATAACAACAAAGAGATATGGATAAAAAAAGTTCTGTGGGATTCAATATCAACAAAGAGATATGAATAAAGGAGGTTCTGTGGGATTCAATAGCAACAAAAAGATATAGATAAAGAAGGTTCTGTGGGATTCAATAACAACAAAGAGATATAGATAAAGAATGTTCTGTGGGATTCAATAACAACAAAGAGATAAGGATAAAGAAGGTTCTGTGGGATTCAATAACAACAAAGAGATATGCCTAAAGGAGGTTCTGTGGGATAAAATGACAACAAAGAGATTTAGATAAAGAAGGTTCATTCGGACTAAATAGCAACAAACAGATATAGATAAAGAAGGTTCTGTGGAATTAAATAGCAACAAATGGATATGGATAAAGGAGGTTCTGCAGGAATAAATACATCAAACAGATATAGATAAAGAAGGTTCTGTGGGATTCAATAATAACAAACAGATATAGATAAAGAATGTTCTGTGGGATTCAATAACAACAAAGAGATATGGATGAAGGAGGTTCTGTGGGATGAAATAATAACAAAGAGATATGGATAAAGGAGGTTCTGTGGGATTCAATAATAACAAAGAGATATGGATAAAGGAGGTTCTGTGGGATTCAATAACAACAAAGAGATATGGATGAAGGAGGTTTTGTGGGATTCAATAACAACAAAGAGATATAGATATGTTTCATATTTGTCAAAGATTACATTGCAAATTTTTGCCAGAACAGAAGCCTAACAAACAGGCCCGTAAATGAGGGAGGGGGTAGGGGGAACTGTCTGCCCCCCCCCCGTGATCTTGTGATTATTATGTCAAAAAAATTTATTTTTAGAGTGTACTTTTTATAAACCTTAAGTGTAAAATGTAAATGATCATCAAAATCAAACTAAAATATCTTGATGTTATTCCTGTAGGACGACCTGAGTTCTCTCATGTATCCGGTCAACCTAATGTATCAGAGATATGGGGAAATCAGGTATAAGGACATTCTTTTTTTATTCAACCATGTTTGATTTAAAATTTCTATTAAAATGAGATTAAATCTTGAAGAAACATTTCTGAAGCCTGTATTATCCTAAATACAAAGCAAGCCATTTTTGAATTGATTCATAGTTGGAAATTTATAAAGAGAAACCTTTTCCACTTAAACTAGTTAAACCAGCCACACTAGTTCATCTACTTCTTAGTATTCAATATTCAAATCTTCATAACAAAATAGCAAAATAGCAATTTCTTGGTGGGAGTTTGTTTTTATTTCTCCCGGAAATTGCAATACATTTTGTTAGTAAACAATATAATGGGGTTTATCTTCATCATTTAGCGTTTCTTATAATCTGTTGAAATTGTAGTTGTCATATCAGAGGCGTACTCAGGGGATGGCCCCCCCCCCCTGTTCTGTAAAATCTAAGGTTTCAAGGGGCTTTTTAGACCCAAACGCATGTTGAGGCCCTAGGAAAGGAAAATAATCAAGCCCACCAAGTGCCCCCCTTGGACAATTTCCTGAGTACGCCCCTGTAATCTGTATTATATATATTTTAGTCAATCTCCGCTATTGAGATATCCTGGAGTTTATCTCAGCTGCTCGGGGCTCCTAGCTGTGCTGATGCTTTCGAAGTGGAATTCCAGGTAAAATACTTCAATTGTTTAAAGGGACTTTAGAGGTAACTTAAAGTAACCCTCCATTTACATTTGTGAAAAAAAAACTGTAAACACATGAAAATTATTTGAACAAAAAGTATCGAACCATTCTGCTCCTAGGAACACTTCCAAAAAAGTAGAATTGGTTTAGATGTTTTGTTTTATTCCCAAAATTGGGTTAGTATTTGTATCTTTAAATAGGTAAACGATCCATCTAGGGATGATAAAATAAAAAAATACTATTTTTTCTTACAAATAAAAATGTCTTCCAGAGTATAGGAGGTGGTAGATTAAGCTGGTCTGCCTGGTCTGCTATGGTAAACTGTGCTCCTACCAGGAGAAATCAAACCTCTTTCACCTGCCTTAAGCAGTTGAACAGCAGGCTTTGCAGCTCAAGGATCAGGTTCTTTTCTAAATGCACTTTTCCGTGTCTTACTCATTTATTTAATAAACAGCGGGGAAAACTTTTCTCTGTTTTACTGTACGAAAACATTTATTTTTACAGTGAAGCCTTTGGCCAGTTCCAAGTGTTTTGTATATTATATAAACAATACAATTAAAATATGAAGGACTGCTGATTGATCTGCTGAAGTATCCCCGTAGATAAATATCTATGAGTATCCCAGGTAAAGTTCCAGAAAGGATTTACTCCTGATAAAGGGTTTCCAGAAGTATCCCAGGTAAAGTTCCAGAACGGATTTACTCCGAATAAAGGGTTTACAGAAGTATCTAAGGTAAAGTTCCAGAACGGATTTACTCTGGATAAAGGGTTTACAGAAGTATCTAAGGTAAAGTTCCAGGACGGATTTACTCCGGATAAAGGGTTTCCTGAAGTATCCCAAGTAAAGTTCCAGGACGGATTTACTCCGGATAAAGGGTTTCCTGAAGTATCCCAGGTAAAGTTCCAGGACGGATTTACTACGGTTAAAGGGTTTGAAGAAGTATCCCAAGTAAAGTTCCAGGACGATTTACTACGGTTAAAGGGTTTGATGAAGTATCCCAAGTAAAGTTCCAGGACGGATTTACTACGGTTAAAGGGTTTCAAGAGGTATCCCAAGTAAAGGGCCAGGACAGTTTTACTCCGGATAAAGGGTTTGCTAAAGAATTTCAGGTAAAGTCCCAGAACGGATTTACTCCGGATAAAAAATTTGCAGAAGTATCCCCAGTTATAGTTCCGGGACGGATTTACCTCGAGAAAAGTTCTTTAACCTGAAAACTCCCCTAAGCTCGGATTTACTCCGGGCATAACCTTAAGTACATGTTCAGGATGGATTTAGTCCTGATACAATTAATCCGTCCTGGTTTCCTTACTCCAACCTGGATCCGGAACCTTAAAACGAACAAAACATTTCCATTGCAATCTAAATTAATTCTTTATTCTATTTTAGGTTCCGAGTTCTGCCTCATAACAGCAGGAACCATGCCATGACAGCTTTAGGTTCTCCTCATCAGGAAATAATTATCAGGTTGCCCAATTTACAACGGTACCATTTAAACTGTTTTCTGAGGAACGATAAGGAAGAGAGGGTTTGATTTCAATAAGGAAATATTACATTCTGACAATTTTTTTCGTTTTTTTCTTTATCATAAACCCGCAAGTAGGACTGCCCCTCTTTAAATGGAGGGTAATTTCTAGGTGTACACAGGGTGTTTCTGTAGAAGTTCTAAATATTTATATTTCTAGTGTACACAGGGTGTTTCTGTAGAAGTTCTATATGTTTATATTTTTAGGTGTTCACAGGGTGTTTCTGTAAAAGTTCTAAATATTTATATTTCTAGGTGTACACAGGGTGTTTCTGTAGAAGTTCTAAATATTTATATTCCTAGGTGTACACAGGGTGTTCTGTATACGTAAAAACTATTGATTTTGCTATGTAGGTGACTACAGGGTTTTCCTGTAAAGTTCTAAATATTTATATTCCTAGGTGTACACAGGGTGTTCTGTATACGTAAAAACTATTGATTTTGCTATGTAGGTGACTACAGGGTTTTCCTGTAAAGTTCTAAATATTTATATTCCTAGGTGTTCACAGGGTGTCCCTGTACAAGTTCTAAATATTTATATTCCTAGGTGTACACAGGGTGTCCCTGTACAAGTTCTAAATATTTATACGCCTAGGTGTTCACAGGGTGTCCCTGTACAAGTTCTAAATATTTATATTCCTAGGTGTACACAGGGTGTCCCTGTACAAATTCTAAATATTTTTATTCCTAGGTGCACACAGGGTGTCCCTGTACAAGTTCTAAATATTTATATTCCTAGGTGTACACAGGGTGTCCCTGTACGAGTTCTAAATATTTATACGCCTAGGTGTTCTCAGGGTGTCCCTGTACAAGTTCTAAATATTTATATTCCTAGGTGTACACAGGGTGTCCCTGTACAAGTTCTAAAGAACAAGCATTCCGTCGGACGACAACTTACTCCTTTGAGTGCTGCAGGACGGTAATTACTAAATTATTCAGCCTGAATTTATTCAAAATGAAAGGCTAAGCTACAGAGCGTCCCATATCATATTAGATTATCTCCAATCTTAATACTCGAAAAACTTATCATTTTCCACAAGAAAATTCTTATATAAGCCTTATATTATTTTTCAAACTGATTCATTCTAATTAAATTTTCTAATTAGTCCCGAAAATCGTAATTTAGACCCATTCTCGGTCTAATATAATGTGGGACACCCTGTAGAGCGAAAAAAGATCCCCACTTTGTGTTGTGTGAAATAAAAAAAATAAAATAAAATAAAGAAACGAAAAAAGAGAAACATGAGTTTAAAACAAATATGAATAATTGATTTATGAAAAAAATCAAAAAGAATTCTAATCAATAAATAATAACACTAACAATGATAATAATAATATATCAATGATAATGATGATAAGAATAATAGATAATTTTTATTGTGATGACAAATTGAAGCCAATTTTCAAAGGTTGTTGATTTTAAATGATAATTAAGATAATCAAGAGATTAGTTACATCAAGATAAAAGTGTTATCAATATTAAAAAATTTTCTAATCCCTAAATGTTTACAACGCAATGTCGTAAACCTTAGATATTTTAAACTATTAATTCTGTTAGCTAAAATAATTTAAGTTTGAAATATCAAAGGTTTACACCAAGATATAGGGATAAGCAAATTTGAGTTTGTGTCAAAGACTCAATCCTTTTTTATCCTCTAGAGATGGTAAACTAAGAGAAGCGATGGCTAGGGATGATCTTCTCAAGAAAATTGAAATCCAAAGAGCTTGGCTCAGGAAACGTAGACGGACAACAACAACAACAACTACTACTACAACATCAACTACAACTACAACTACAACAACATTACCAACTTCCACATCGACAACAACAACTATTACAACCGCAAAACCTACTTCAAAAACAATAAGGAATATACACTACATTATGCAGTGTGGACTGAGTAAAAAAAACACATGAACTTTGAACAAATTGAAATAATGAAAACAATTTTTGGTGAATTTATAATCTTTTTAGCAAGATGTTTCTCATTTAGATTTTTGGTTTTAAACTTGAAAAGGATAGAAACTAATTTTCTAATTATCTATTAATTATCTATTGCTGAAGAAAATGATAATGGTCCCAAACTGTCCTAAGTGTAGATTATCTACCTAGAACCCCGGATCCCGGACTTAACAAGGTTGGGAGCAGGAGAATGGATAATCCGTCCTACGCTGATCCAACCCTTGGAGACGAATACTATGACTACGAGTATGATTATGAGTACCCGGATCAAGTTGAACCTGAAATGGAGGAACCTGAAGAGGTTCAACCAACCTGTCTTTACTCCGGGTGGGACGCCTGGACTGAGTGCACCACATTGTGTGGTAGTGGAACCAGGACACGGAGTAGATCCGTCCTACATGGTCTACCTGGAGATTGTGAGTTCATAAATCAAACCAAATCCTGCTTCGGCAGATCCTGCTCCATGGACCTGGATGTAGTGGTGAGAGAGAGAGCAACCCTGCTCCCTGGCAAGTATGGAAAAGGACGGGATAAGAAAGAATATGAGGTTCGGAGCAATCTTAAGAACTTTACAGAGGATGAGAATACTCAGCTGTACTGCATTCAATTTCAGGGATAAACGGATATAAATAAGGATGTAAAGATATAAACTTTTGATTTTTTCCATTTTGTTAAAAACTTCTCCAAATTTTTTATTCATTGAATACCTTTAAACAGATTCTCGTAATTGTCAAGTCAATGATGGATCTCCCTGAGCTTTGTAAATGAGGTGGGTCTATGATGTGCTAATTCAATCTCAAAACTGATTTTGAAGTAGGTTTCTGATATACTTGAGAGCGTCGTCACTTACTTTTGTGCAAAAATCTTTAAAATTACTGTAGATGTCGACAAACATGTGAAATTACTGTAGATAGTGACAAACATGTTCTTTTTCAACAACCTGTAGTAATGCTGACATAAAGTTTATGAAACCAATATATTGACCAATGATCTCCTATATTCTAGTATCTAGGTTGTACATGGAGCAAGATCTTGTGAAACTAAACCTGAAGTCTCAGCACTAAGACGGGGAAACACCGTGTGCGCTCTGTGTACAAGTAAAGCTGTCCGTGAAGGAGATCAAGGTTGTGTAGGAGGAGGAGTCCAGGATAAGGTTACCTCCTATAGGATGCTACTGGAGACAAGATGTCAGGGAACCTGGAGAAAACTAGAGGAAACCGAACTCTGTTCCTGTAGCGAGAACTCAACCTTTATATTTGTTTAGATCTCTCAAGTTCTTCCTTAAAGGGACTGTAAGCGTAATGAGTTACATGTCCGTTTCACTCCGGTGTCCTAGCCTATATATTTGTTTATATCTCTCAAGTTCTTCATTAAAGGGACTGTAAGCGTAATGAGTTACATGTCCGTTTCACACGAGTATCCTAGCCTATATATTTGTTTATATCTCTTAAGGTCTTCATTAAAGGGGCTGTTTAAATGTTTTTAAACATTGATTTTGAAAATAGAGAGTAAATCGAGAGTAAATCGACAATAACTACATCATTGTTAATCACATTATGGGTAAAAGGTTACCGATGTAAGTTGGGCATGTTACTCTCTAAATTATAAGTTTTAGAATATTATGAAAAACTTCAACTTCTGGATCGAGGATACTTTTCTAAGAGCCAAAATACAAGACAACGTTTACGACACCTTGTAGCGGAAAAACAAATCATATTTATGGATTTTTATTTTTATCTTTTTAAAAGTCAAAGTTCGACTGTTTAATAAATTTTTTAAAACTTTGCATAATTTCCCGTTAAAAAAGTTGTAATCTTTAAAATTATGGCTTTCATGAAAAAACGACATTTTCAAATTCAGAGGCCGCAATGTCAATCAAATAATCAAACCTTATAAATCAATGCCTTTCTAATTCTATATATTCCTAAATGTACTCTTTTCACTGATATTTGCATCAAATATAAATATTTTAGTTATTTATTTTCATATTTGTGTATATTCTTTAAATATTTACTAAAATATAGGATTAATTCTATTTTTACAAATTTTATAAATCCCTTAAATTCATTTTTAAAATTTGTTTATATTTAATATTTTCTGGTCAATTTGATGAAATTAAAAACTTTGTGGAAGACGATGCCTGGCCGCATTAAACTAGTTCCACAAGATTCAACAGAATGAGATAAAACGGATACGGGGCATAGTACTGATAAAGGATCTACACGTGTGATTTCGATATTGACTCTAGTTCTGAACCCTCTAGTAATAAGTTATAAGAAATATATATACTGGAAGTTATTTAGAGTCTGACTCACGTCCTCTATAACTTATACTTTTCAAGTTTTTCAAGGGTTCTAACTAACAACTTACAGGGTGATAACTTTAAAGGATGAGAATGTAAAAACTACCTGAAACTCATTTTCAATTAAGTCTCCTGCCTTGAAAATAGTTTTATATTGGCTTATTAAATGATTTTTGCACGAAAGAAACAAGTTTAAAGTCGTCTCTGAAGTCTGATTCTTTGAAGGTAACCCTGTATTACCTCTTACTCATGAAAATAAAGCACAACATGAAATATATTAAGTATTTATTCTCAGTTCTTCAGTAAATATCGATTTCTTCATAATTAAACTTTGTTATTAATGTATCCAGATTCTAAATTATTGTTAGGATCTAGAATCTAGATCCTAAGAATAATCTAGAGTCTAGATCCTAGATTATTTTTTGTATCTAGATTCTAAATTATTCTTAGGATCTAGATTCTAGAAAATTGTTAGGAAGTATATTAGAAACATAATTGTAAACGTTTCGTTGAATCCGATTACGATTTAAAACTAAGCTCACCGGAAGTACAAGAATTTTTGAATTTATTATTTAACGTTTTTATTACAGATATTACATATTAGATTTTAATCCATTTTGATTAAAAATTTGAATGAAAAAACTTGAGTTGATTTGCTAGATATTCTATTGGATTGTCAGGACGCGCGTTGGAGACCTCCTTAAGCGCGTAGCTCAACCCCTTCTCAAACCTGAGCGCTTCATCAGGATCCAGGTAGGACACCCAGGATATCTTAACATGTCATAGATTAAAAAGAATAAAAGATGAAAACGTTGCCAAGAAAGGTGAAAAAGATAACTCGACATATGAAAAAAGATGACACAAAAGCTGAAAAATATTGCATGAATTATGAAAATGATAATATAAAAGAAGAAAAATATGACAGACATGAAAGATGAAAAAGATAGTAAGAAAGAAGAAAAAAGTAGAATTAAAGATGAAAAAGATCTCTAGAAAAATGAAACAGTTATCTTAATAGATGAAAAAGATGACACGAAAGATTAAAAATATATCATGAAAGATGAAAAATATAATATAAAAGAAGAATAAAAATGACAGACACAACAGATGAAAAATGTAGAACAAAAGATGAAAAATGTAGAACGAAAGATGAAAAATGTAGAACGAAAAATGAAAAATGAAAAACGAAAGATGAAAAATGTAGAACGAAAAATACAAAAGATTAAAAAAATGAAATGAAAGATTAACAATATATATGAAAGATGAAAAAGATAACATAAAAGAAGAATGAAAATGACAGACACAACAGATGAAGAACAAAAGATGAAAAAGATTAAAAAATGAAAGGAAAGATGAAAAAGATAAGATAAAAGAAGAAAAAAATGACAGACACAAAAAGATAAAAAAGATACAAAAGATGAAAAAAATAGTACAAAAGAAGAAAAAAGTAGAATTAAAGATGAAAAAGATGTCGGGAAAAATGAAATAGGTGTCTTAAAAGATGAAAAGATGACACGAAAGATGAAAAATATATCATGAAAGATGAAAAAGATAACATGAAAGAAGAATAAAAATGACAGACACAACAGATGAAAAATATAGAACGAAAGATGAAAAATGAATAACGAAAGATGAAAAAGGTAGAACGAAAAATGCAAAAGATTAAAAAAAATTAAATGAAAGATGAAATAGATAACACAAAAGATGACAAAGATAAAACGATAGAGAAAAAGATGGGACAAAAGATTATAGGAGAATGAATGCAAAAGATGAAAAATAGAAAACAACAGATTTAAAAACAGAATAATATATTTCAAAGATAGAAAGATAGATAAAAAGAATAAAAGATAAAAAAGATGGGAAAACTGAAAAAGTTAGGAAAAACGATGACAAGGAGTTGGCAAAAGATAAAAAACAACTGATGAACGAGAGAAAACAAAAGATGAAAAATAGAAAACAACAGATTCAAAAACAGGATAATATATTTCAAAGATAGAAAGATAGATAAAAAGAATAAAAGATAAAAAGCTGGGAAAACTGAAAAAACTAGGAAAAACGATGATTAGGAGTTGGCAAAAGATAAAAAAACAACAGATGAACGAGAGAAAACAAAAGATAAAAAAGATAGGACAAAAGATTAATAAGAGAAAATAAAAGATGAAAAAGATAGTACAAAGGATGTAAAACAGAGGACAAGGTTTATCTTTTGTTGATAATCCCTTTATATGCAGGGTTTCTTAAAGTACGAATAACAAGATTAAAATTCCTTTTCTTACCTCAGAATTTTGTAGTTCAGTCTGATTTTCCAAATTAGTCTCTTTAATATAACTTTTCTCAGTTTCTTTATCCACCTTCTCCTTGTTTTCCTGATTAACCTTTTTGATGTTGATGTCATCAATTATACTCTCAACATCATAATCATTATCATCATTCTCAATATCTTCCAACATCATTGTATAATCGTTATTCTCTTTATGCTCTAGAAATTCTGGTTCTTTCTTATGTTTAGTTTCATTTTCTTTGTCATTCTTTTCAGGTGTTATGTCTTTCTCTTCATAATATTCTTCTTCATGATCGTTTTTATTATCTTCTTCAGTTTTTGGCTCATCAATTTCTTTCTTTTCTTCTTGCATAACATCCTCCATTTCTGTTTCCAGTTCTTGACTGTTAGGTCCAAGATTTAAAATACATTTAAAGGGACTGTTTATGCCTGATTCACAACAGTAATATTTAACACCTTTATATTTAAGAAGCTATGACAAGGATATCGTCGTTTTTCTTTCTTGTATCGTGTTTTTCTGTCTTATATCATGTCTTTCTACCTTATATCGTGTTTTTCTGTCTTGTATCGTGTTTTTCTGTCTTATATCATGTCTTTCTATCTTATATCGTGTTTTTCTGTCTTATATTGTGTTTCTCTATCTTATATCGTGTTTTACTATCTTATATCGTGTTTTTCTATCTTATATCGTCGTTTATATCTTTTAACGTGTTTTTTTATCTTATATCGTGTTTTTTTCTGTCTTTTATTGTGTTTTTCTATCTTATATCGTGTTTTTCTATCTTATATCGTGTTCTCTATCATATATCGTGTTTTTCAGTCTTATATCGTGTTTTTCAGTCTTATATCATGTTTTTATATCTTATATCGTGTTTTTCTATCTTATATCGTGTTTTTCAGTCTTATATCATGTTTTTCTATCTTATATCGTGTTTTTTCTATCTTATATCGTGTTTTCACTCTTATATCATGTTTTTCTATCTTATATCACGTTTTTCTGTCTTATATTGTGTTTTTCTATCTTATGTTGTGTTTTCTTTTATCTTATATCATGTTTTTCTGTCTTATATTGTGTTTTTTCTATCTTATATCGTGTTTTTCTGTCTTATATCGTGTTTTACTATCTTATATCGTGTTTTTTTTGTCTTCTATCGTGTTTTTCTATCTTATATCGTGTTGTTCTGTCTTCTATCGTGTTTTTCTGTCTTATATTGTGTTTTTCTGTCTTATATAGTGTTTTTCTGTCTTATATCGTGTTTTTCTCTTATATCGTGTTTTTCTATCTTATATCGTGTTTTTCTGTCTTATATCGTGTTTTTCTGTCTTATATCGTGTTTTTCTGTCTTATATCGTGTTTTTCTGTCTTGTATCGTGTTTTTCTCTTATATCGAGTTTTTCTGTCTTATATCGTGTTTTCTATCTTATATTGTGTTTTTCTATCTTGTATCGTGTTGAATTCTAACAAAGGAATTGAGTCTTTGCCACAAATTCTAATATTGTAATTTCTATTTCATTGCAACTAAATAACGTAGACCTTAGAAATTTCAAATTGTAAATTCTGTTGTATCAAATAATAGAAGTTTAAAAATATCAAAGGTTTACACCATCAGGTTGCAAAGATATCTGGATTAGAAAATTTGATTTTGTGGCAAATCAGGCATTTCATTCTTTAAATGAACGTTCACTTGAAATTATGCCAAAAAATTAAAAGGCTGGTTTTATTCATGAAAAAATCTTTATAAAAAGATTTAAGTTAAACTTTAAATCCTTCCTTTGTTTGCTGATTTCCTCGAAGTAAGCTGATGCCGTATTCCCTAAATGGAAAACAACAAAAATTCTTTAATTTAAAAGATACCAACAAATGGAGTTATAAGAAGAGAGTATAGTGAGGTTAAATCAAAGCCCAAGGCGTTGCGACACTTTAAAGTGGACCCAGTCTTACGAAATTTGTCAAAGCAGTCTTGACCTAGCTGCCTATTCCTAATCAAAATCTTTAAAAAGTTTCCTTAAAAAATGATTTGAAGCATGATTCTGGCAATTCTATATAATTCTATATAATTCTATATAATTCTATATAATTCTATATAATTCTATATAAGCTAAAATTGAAAAAATAACCAAAGAAAATCTAAAAATCTAAACAGAAACTTCTAAAATTAACAGAAAAAAGTTAAACTTACTAACTTAGGGAAAAAGATTTGGATCTAATTTTCTTTTCCTTATATTTTTGCAGCACAATGTCGTCAATCGTCATATTTCAAACTATGAATCATGTTAGCTCAAATAATTTAAGCTTGATTTATATAAAATGCTTACACCATCAGGTTGAAAAGATGTAGGGATTAGAACATTTGCGTCTGTTACAAAGACTTATTTTTTTGCCGACCTAACGTCTTTGGTCAAATCGCAAAATTTTTAATCAATAAAAAATTCTCTCCTCAGCAAATTGATTGGATAAGTAATAAAGCAGATATATAATTGTATATAATATATATTATATATATTATATATAATTATATATGATATAATATTATATATAATATATAATTATTGAATTATAATTATAAACAACGTTTTAATGGGCTCACTTGTCTATTTAAACAAGTGCAAATGTTTCTATAAGTACAATATATAAAAGGGAATTAAATTATGATTATATTTTCACGCTTTTATTTATCAATCTGTTAACAAAACATTTAAAATATTTACATTCTATAATATGCTTCCAATTTAAATAGTTAGAGTATTAAGCCGTATCCAATCCTACTTGTACCGTCACTGCCCGGATTAATCATACACTGCGATTTAAAGGTTGCAAACTCTCAAGCAAAAATCTATGAGAATTTTGCCAATAACTTCTTAACGACTACAGTTATAAACAAGTCCGGTATAGTTCTAAAATGTACATGTCTTGAGCTACAAGAAAGCATTCGAGTTAGAGCGGTAAAATCAAAGCCCAAGGCGTTGTGACACATTAAAGTCGACCCTGTCTTGAAAATTATGCAACATTTCTAGAGCAGGCTGAATCTATGTGCATTGCATCTAAAATTTTAAAGTGATGGCAGCAAGGCCTTGTTTACTTGAAATTAAAGTTCCTTTAAACTGAGATATTGTTACCTGATAAATCCTTAATAGTGTCATCTCCACCCTAAATATTTGATATTTGTTCAGTTTTTAAAAAATCTTTGAAAAGAAATAATTTGAATTTATTTACTTTTAATTTACTGTGGTTAAAATGTACAATGTAATTTACAATAAATAGCAACACTCAAAAAAGAGTTCAAAAATTTTATTTTATTTTTTCTCCCATTTACTGCTAAGATCCTCAAGGTACTTTTACAGAGGACCCACAATTTAAAACTATCAATTTTAAGGCAGAAAAATAAGAACATCTTCGTCATTTATGCTCCGGGAAAAGTTATAAACCGAGCACCAATTCTTTAACTGAAGGGTCACTAGAAACTACTTTGGGAGTAAAATTAATTTTCAAAAATTTAAATTATTTCCTTTGTGAGCTAACTGACATTTACCTGGTCTTTAAAGTTTTGATAAAGGTTGTGTGATTTAGGATCTAAAATATTAAAATATAATTTCATTTTGCTTAATTGTTCAAAATATAGAAATAAAGGATGTCACACTAAACATGGAAGTTGAGGGATTACACACAAATCATATTTGATCTTTGATAGCTTTCTAATAATAAAATATTTAACACAAAAGTTGGAAAACTTAAACCCTTTTGATAATTAATCTGGTTTCCCCCTTTATAATTCCTGCAATCGTTCTTCGATATGTACATTTGATAAAGCTGAAAAGAACTAAGAATTCTATGTCGTCTTTTAATTTTCATATTTAGTGAGACCCCTGTACCTAGAGCTGCCCAATGCAGTGGGGTTCTGCCTAGGGCATCAGGTCTGTTTAACAGTTCTGGATAGTTCTAGAAAGTTTTTCTGAACATCTTATCTCTTATATGGCATATATATATGTAGATGAATCACTGCTCTTGTGCGCAGGTTTAAGTTGAAAAAAAACATGGCGCGTATACAGGGGGGGGGGGGCAGTAGTCCTCTTGGGAAATGTTAAAATCAGGTGTACTTCAGTATTGTTAAAATGTCGTCTACCTATTCTCCAGGTTTCTGGTTATCACTGTATGTAGCTATATGTTTTATACAAGTGTTTGGCATGTCTTCCCGCAACCCACATGAAGGCCAGGGGTAGATTACATTTGAAGAGGAGGGTTGGGGGGTGAATAAAGAGGACGGAGGACTACTGATAGTCTTCAAGAGAAAGCTGCCCAGGACTTCCGTGAGTAATACAGAACTATACAAAGGGATACATTATACTTGCTTTCCACATACGTACATTAAACCGAGACTACAATGGGGTACATAGGGGACATGTGGTATAGTAGCTAGACTTAATAAAGAATAAAAGCATTTTTAAGGCCAGGGAGGGGGGAAAATCGTCCAGGGGGTGGCAAAAAAAAATTTCCCCCTATCTGGCTAAAATCCGGCATGCACGCCTGTGAAATAACGTACTGGCTCAACTTTGTCTGAGAGGTTCAGCTTCTTTGAAGTAATACTATTTTTTAAACCTGGTCTTAAAATTCTTAAATCCAGTGGTAATTTTTTAAAATTTTATATAACAAGAACCTTGATGATATATTGCGCAATGTGACTCTGCGCATGCTGGACTGCTGTGTGCAATATGTTGCCGCGTTGCTTTCCTTCCAGACAGTGAGCAAACTTTTTCCGGTCTAGATGAATCTGAAGAACATAAGAAAAATTTACTATTTTCGACGCGTTTTTGGTGTTTTTTAGTTTTAAAATTAACAGAATTTAACGTGACATATTAAATAGTTTTTTTACCTTTAGATTTTCCAGGGACCCATCTTTGACCGAATTATGGATTTTTTGAATTTTGGTTTGAAATCCGGGAATGTTTCTGATGAAAACTTGAATATCTTTATTTGATGTCTCAATGTCTTGCAGCTGTTTCCCATCACCTTGGGATAAAAGTTTTACAATTACATTGTACAATGTACAGGTATAGGGTGTCATTTTTTTATGGTGGATTTTTTTACCATTGAGAATCAAATCCACAAGTTTTTCAAAGTTCTTCGTGTTTACAGCCACCAGGATTTCAGGAATCAATTCTTTGGAGCTCCTGGCGAAGGTCTTAATGGAGCTTCCTCTTGAGGTCGCCCTTGAGCTTCCTGAGTTCGGACCACGTCCTCTTCTTTTAATTGGAACTATCTCCCCTCCAATATAATCCTCTTTACTCCAGCCAAGCAAATCCCTTCAAATAAAAAACAATTTATGGATTGGTACTAATTGTGTTTTTCACACAAATCTTTCTATTTATCAAAACATTTTGAAGTCTTATCATACAGGGTGTCCCACGAAACATGACAATTGGTGAATAGTTTAAAATGTCTTCTTCCATAATTTGTAAAGTTGTTTGATACCAAAGATGATGATAAGAATACTAAATGGCAGTAATATCATATAGTAAATTGATTTCAAACAAATATAAATTTGAGTAAAAGATTTGTTTAAAGGGAGTGTTCACGAAAAATGAAAGGGGGTATAGGCTTAATGCGATAAAAAAGCGCTTTTGATCGCTTCTAATCTTACTTTTATCTGTTGCGTCTATAAGGAGAAAATTGTTGAAGACGTCTCATACCGAATAACATGGCGCCCATACAAATTGAGAAAATTGCAACATACAACTTAGACCATAAAAATCAATTTAATTTCAAACAAATCATTCAGATATTACAACCTATAGTTATCGATTATCTTTCGCCACATTTATATATAGTTAATTTTTCATAATATGTTTTAATTGTTTTGATCTGAGAGTTACTTATAAAAACATTTATTCCTGTTTCGAGGATTTTTGGAAATGAAGACGACATTTTCATATTTTCCAGGAATGTTCGAAAACAAGTTGGAAGCAAAATGTTATTTTAAAAAATAAAATCAAAACATATTATGAAAAATCAACTATATATAAATGTGGCTAAAGATAATCGATGACCATAGGGTGTAATATCTGAATGATTTGTTTGAAATTAAATTGATTTTTTTACGGTCTAAGTCATATGTAGCATCTTTCTGAATTTGTATGGACACTACGTTCTTCGGTACTAGTCGTTTTTAACAATTTTCTCCTTACAGACGCAACAGATAGAAGTAAGATTAGTAGCGATCAAAAGCGCTTTTTTATCGCATTAAGCCTATACCCCCTTTCATTTTTCGCGAACACTCCCTCTAAAGAAATAAATTGCAAAAAGTCTTAAATATCTAATACAGTATATGGAAGAAGACATTGAAAAATATTCATGTTTCGTGGGATGCCCTGTATCTTACTACTACCAGTTTTTTTTAATGTTTCTGACTAACTTCTGGATTTTGTTGCCTTTGATACCGGTTTTTAACTTTGCTACAGTGATAACCAGAAAACTCTGAAATATGAAAACGACTTTTAAAAATTAAGTTATAACTTGATAAAGTGAAATGAGCATGAGACACGGTAATTTTTCAGTTTAAACAGACCCATTTCACTAGAATAGTTTTTTAATAAATGCCTAGTAAACTTTTTGCTTTGTAACAACATCAAATACACTTAAGTTTTGCTATAATATCGTCTTCCGATTCCATTGTTTTCTGGTTATCACTGTTCATTGACTTTGGATTTTGCTTCATTGCTTTCAGATTTTGCTGTTTGACTCCTCTGATTTCTATTCTAAATATTTAGCTATAACCTGGCTTTTGGATTTTGCTACCTGACTATTCTAAATATTTTGCTATAACCTGGCTTTTGGATTTTGCTACCTGACTCCTGAATGTTATAATCTTACTCCTGGATTATATAACTGGCTAGTGGCTACATGACTCCTGAATGTTACTACCTGGCTTCAGGATCTACTCCAGCTTGCACCAGGAGCTCAATAATAATCTCTCTGACAGATTCATCCTTACAGGTTGCAGCGTAGTGTACAGAAGTTCGACGCATACTATCCACGCATCTTGATACAATGATAATGTTAATGACTACATTAATGATAATCACTCTGATAGAGCAATGATAATGTTATAAATGAAAATGACAATTCTGTCAACTGTATTTCTTCAGGAATAAAGTTGAAAATCTATATATAAATTTGGCTTGTCTGTCTGTTTGTATCCAATAAACGTCAAAACGGCTGAACCGATCGGGCCCAAATTTTTTGTGGGACATCACGTGACCACCGGGAAGGTTTATGAATGATAAAAATTAAAAAAATGTGTTTTAAAGGTTTTTAATTTTGTAAAAAAATTTAAATTCTTGAAAATCCGCGAATTTTTTTTTAAAAATCCGCAAAATTTTTTCTTCTTTTTTTAAAAATGTAAACAAAAAGAACATGTTCACAATTTAAATAGAAGATGGGCGCGAAGCGCCCCAAACGCCTAGTAATATAAAAACCTAAAATGTACCTTGCAGCCCCTGGACAAAGCTCTAGTATAAAACTAAGCATGTGCATGTGACCTTGTCTTGCTGCAATATGAACTGGCATTTCTCCAAACTCATCTCTTGAAACCAGTAACCTAGAAAGGAAATATAATAGGCTCAAGTGTTATTTTTCAATAAACTGGGTTTAGTGTAAATTATAAGCAGTATGTGTTCAGTGCAAGATTGTAATTAGTTATGTTTCCTACTCTCTATGCGCTCCAATGTACACAAAATATCATCCCTAAGTAATGGACAGTAAAATCCGGAAACGACGTCACTGATTATAGAGTCGAGTGTAGGAATTAGTGACGTCATTTACGGATTTCACTGTCTATTTCTTAGGAGACGACATTTTCCGTACATTGGAGGGCATCGAGAATACGCAACCTTAATAAACAACCTTGGTTCAGGTATTCCACATTATATTATTCTCTTACTTTGAATTAAACCATTATTTAAATAGATTAAATAGAAATTTATGATTGATGAAAATGGAATAATTAGATCATTTGGACATATTTTTTTAAATAAAGGGTAACAGTTCTATTTACCTAATATCAGGAATAGACTGTAAACTGAATAGATCTCCTCGTTCAACTAGTTCATGAGTATCCTAAAATATATTTAATAGATCCCTTCGTTCAACTAGTTCAGGAGTATCCTAAAATATATTTAATAGATCCCCTCGTTCAACTAGTTCATGAGTATCCTAAAATATATTTAATAGATCCCCTCGTTCAACTAGTTCATGAGTATCCTCAAATATATTTTACAATATATAAAAGGGAATTAAATTATGTTTATATTTTCACGCTTTTATTTATCAATCTGTTAACAAAACATTTAAAATATTTACATTCTATAATATGCTTCCAATTTAAATAGTTAGAGTATTAAGCCGTATCCAATCCTACTTGTACNCCTCAAATATATTTAACATGTTTTTTATTTTTAACATAATTATTGATTTAAGATAAAGTAAAATTGCTGTGCATTTCAGTAATCCGGAGCCTTAAAGGGAGTGACCGGCATGGAGGACTGGTTGAGCTTTAAAGTTTTAAAAATTCAATTGATATATTGTACAATTTCTGAGTATTACTTTTCAGTGGGTTTATTGAATAAGTGTAAAAACATGTTTCATGTGGCGGATGACGTTGGATAACGTTTTTGGTTTAAAGTAATACTCCGCAAAATTATATTTTATTTGTAACAAATAATCCTATAATTGTTTAATTTCTGTAATGTTACTGGTCTCTTAGCTCAACTACCCCTCCTTGCTTTTTAACATTATATTATTTTTAATATTATATTATTTTATTATATTTATTATATTTATTATATTTATTATATTTATATTATATTTAATATTATATTATTTTTAATATTATAAAAAATAAAATTTAAAAAACAATTAACTTCAAAGATAAATATTTAAGATTTTTTTATTCAAAGGGACTGTAAGCGTAATTTCAAGTGACCACCTTATGTAAAGATGTCAATGTTCTATTTAAAACCAATTAAAAAAAAATTAAAAGCTTTGTCTGATCCACCCCGGACTAACCAGAGTGAGACGCGTTCGGTTTCTTCTATTTGAAGTCATACGCGTTTTGGTCTACAACCAAACAATCTTTAAACTTACGGATTTGTTTGTCTTATACTTTTCATTCAAAAGTATAAGACAGCAAAAAAAGTAAAAAAGAAGAAAGGCTAAAAAGTCATGTTTAATAGGTCAAACTGTGATTGAAAGTCACAGTTTTCTGGAATATTGACAGAACCGTTAAATCCACACTGTATCCTTTGGGAAAACAATGTTTAAAGTCGCAAATTAAAAATCGTTTATTTCGTGAAATAACGGATTAATTGTCCGTGCGTACAGTTCGTCAGAGAAACTTCAGATTAATAATCCGTTATTTCGCCAAGTTACAGATTTTTAATCCGTAAGTTAGTGATTAAAAATCCTTTAATTTTCAGACTTTTAATACGTTATTAAGCGACCGTCCGTTCTGAGTCGCTTTCTTTTAAAAGCAAGCGATTTTTAATCGTTTTCTTCACCAAGATAAGGATACAGTGCACGTGGATCAAGCATGAACGAGGATCTATATTTTTAAAACTATCTTCATTTGTGGTTTCTCTGCAAAAGTGACTTGTGCATTTCTTGCTTATAAGTAACATTGGAGAAATTATCAGAATCAAAACTTCGACTCAGAAAAATCCTTATTCTTTATCAGGATTATGGTTTCGAGGGTGCTGTCGTGAATCAGGCGTTGAGATCTTTCAACGGAGGGTTACTTGAAATTACGCTTAAAGTGTCAAAAAAATGAATTACCTCGATATTTGACTTGAGACCTGGAAGAGTATTTTGAATGAAATTATTTGCTTCTGTGTTGGTTGTACTGCATTTATTAATAAGATACCCCTGAAATAAACAATTCATAAAAGACAACTTTAAACTATTGGCTTTTTATTCTCCTTTTAGTACAGCTGTCTTCAGCTGTCATCCTCGTCCTCAAATACCTTTTCTTTATTTACAGCCGTCTTCAGTTGTCGTACAATAACTTTTCTTTATTTACAGCCGTCTTCAGCTGTCATTCAATACCTTTTCTTTATTTACAGCCGTCTTCAGCTGTCGTACAATAACTTTTCTTTATTTACAGCCGTCTTCAGCTGTCATTCAACTTTTCTTTATTTACAGCCGTCTTCAGCTGTCATTCAATACCTTTTCTTTATTTACAGCCGTCTTCAGCTTCAGCCGTCAAATTTGAAAATATGTCGAGATTTATTATTTCTAAAAATACACCAATTTAAACCAAAAAATCAGCAGAATTATTCTTATTAAACGAAGATGTTAAGATTGTTATCTGAAAAGGGAGCACGAAGCGTTCTAAAAAGCTAGTTTATGTAGAACTGTTTTCAATACCTTTCCTTTGAGTACAGCTGTCTCCAACTGTGCCAGCTGTCCTGAATCTAACCAGGTCTGAACTAATTCTTTAGTCATCTGGAAAACAGTTAATTTTATTTTGCATATATTCAGTTTTATTATATATATTATTTATATCTTTATATAAAAAAATTGAGTCATTGCCACAAACTCTGATTTTCTACTCCCAATAACTTAGAAACCCAATCCAATGTCGTAGACTTAAGATATTACTGACTATGAATTCTGTTTGATCAAATAACATAGACTTGAAATATCAAAGGCTTACGTGATCCGGTTGCAAAGATATATGGATTAGTTAACTTTATTTTGTGGGAAAGACCCAGTTCCTTTGGGAATTGTTTTTTTGGCAACTCACATGACCCCAGGAAAGGTTTATGAACGTTCAAAAGTGAAATATTTTGCCTCAAAAAACGGTTATTTTTTCAATTTCAATTCAATCTATAAATGTTTAAAGAAAAAAACACAAAATTTTGATTTTTATTATTACGAAGAAAAAATGGCCTCTTGAAAAGCACCATTTAAAAGCTTAGATGGTTGGTAGAAGAGGGTCGCTAAGCGCCCTGTAAGCCTTGTTATATTAAATATCAATATTTGTGTCAAATGAATATCATTGAATAAACTTTGTTTTCGAAAGTGAAAATCAATATTTTGATTTGTTTAATCAACTTTCTATAAACAGTTCTTTTTCATCAATTATTTATTGAATGTCAATATTACTAATTACATCAAAATATTTTCAACTATTTTATCACCTTGTCTGGAGCTAGGAATCTAGAGAGTTTGTTTTCATGCTGATCTCCCATTTTCTTGAAATTACATACAATGAAAACATTCATATTTTTGATAATTTTTTGTTTCATTTTCCACATGATCTTCATACAGATACACATTACCCATTCTAACCAATACTTATTGAATCATTTGCCTATATCGATGTCTATTGCCTAAATCAAATGCTATTTATCTAAATCCAAGTCTACTATCTAAACCCAAGTCTACTATCTAAATCCAAGTCTACTATCTAAATCAAAGTCTACTATCTAAATCAAAGTCTACTATCTAAATCAAAGTCTACTATCTAATCCCAAGTCTGTTATCTAAATCAAAGTCTACTATCTAAATCCAAGTCTACTATCTAAATCAAAGTCTACTATCTAAATCAAAGTCTACTATCTAATTCAAAGTCTACTCTCTAAATCCAAGTCTACTATCTAATTCAAAGTCTACACTATCTAAATCCAAGTCTACAATCTAAATCCAAGTCTACTATCTAAACCAAATTGTACTGCCTGACTAAGTTTCTACTAAATTAAAGTCCAATGCCTTAATCTTTATAAATCGAAATTTACTGCAACTGATTTAATGTCTACTTCTTAGTGCCTAAGTCTAAAGGCTAAATCAAAGTCTTCCCCTTGAAACAAAATCTACTTTCTAGGACCAAGTCTACGACCTAAATCAGAGTTTAATGACTGAATATCAAATACTACTGCTTAATGCTTATGTCCAAATCTACTGCCTGAATGAAATTCTACTGCATGGATCAAGGTATACTGAAAGAAACCAAGCCAAAGGGGTGGGAGGGGGAAATGACTTTCCTTTATTCTCCAGCACTATATATATATATATATATATATAAAAATATTATTCAACTTTCTCTTCAATATTTAACAATTTTTTGTCGAATAAAGAATTTACAAGATATTATAAATAATTACCCTCAATTAGTGCCTCAATACTTTTTTATTTGCGTTTTGCTTCTAGGTAGAAATGTATTTATTACGTTATGGCAAATTTGATTTTAGTTAAATTCGTAAATTCTAAATCAGTTCGAATTTGCTCTTTAAAAAAGTTGCTTATCCTAATTTTGTTTTTAGTGACGCCTTTTTATCAACAAAGTTGCAGGCCGTAATCTTTTAGATTTGTAAAGCTACAGTTATTTCGCCATTGATCAGTGTAAATTGGGATAAAATATTAACGAGGAAAGAGGAAAAAATAAGATTTAAGCTGAAAAACATCCTCGGTTTTTTTCTGATATAGTTACATACGATTTGGTAAACAGATGAACTTATCATGATACAATTTAAATTAAAGGATAATTTTGTGAAATATGATCCAGTCTTACTTCAATAATGCTGCGGGTTCACAACCTTTCTGTTATATTATTATTGATGTTAGGTAGGTTACAATGAACCATTACCACAAAATTTCGACCTCAATGTACAATTTTCGTTCTATTCGGTATTTTTTTTTCGTCAGTGCATTAAAATGCAAAATTGACTTTTGTGGTGAATCACTAACAGTTTTATATAATGGATGAACATCCATATAAACTTTTTTTTTATAACATTTTGTTTAATTGAAATTAAAAGATGTTTTAAAGTCAAGGTCAAATTTTTAATTAAATCTTAATCCATCCAGATGTTGGATGGATTATCAACGTATAAATGTAATTATTGTAGATTTAGGATGAATTATCCATGTGTGTAAATATAATTACAGATGTTGAATGGATTATCAATGTATTAATGTAATTATTGCAGTTGTTGGATGGAATATACATGTGTAAATGTAATTTCTGTAGATGTTGGATGGATTATCAATGTATAAATGAAATTACAGATGTCGGATGGATTAGCCATATGTAAATGTAATTACAGATGTTGGATGGATTATCAATGTATAAATGAAATTACAGATGTTGGACGGATTATCCATGTATAAATGAAATTACAGATGTTGGATGGATTATCCATGTGTAAATGTAATTACTGTAGATGTTGGATGAATAATCCATGTATAAATGAAATTACAGATGTTGGATGGATTATCCATGTATAAATGTAATTACAGATGTTGGATGGATTATTAATGTATAAATGAAATTACAGATGTTGGATGGATTATCCATGTATAAATGATATTACTGTAGATGTTAGATGGTTTATCAATGTGTAAATGTAATTACAAATGTTGGATGGATTATCAATGTATAAATTAAATTACAGATGTTGGATGGAATATCAATGTGTAAATGTAATTACAGATGTTGGATGGATTATCAATGTATAAATGAAATTACAGATGTTGGATGGGGAATGAAATATTTGATAAAAACTGAAACTGGAGAAAACTATCTAGTGAAATCTGCAGTTGATCTTCCAACAACAGGTATAGATATTCTTCTAAATATTTTTCATTTCCCATCATTCCTCTCATCATTTCCCATCATTCTTCAACATTTCCCATCATTTCCCAACATTCTTTAATATTTCCCATCAATTCTCAATATTCTTTAGTATTTTTCATCATTTCCCAACCTTCTTTAATATTTTCCATCATTTCCCAACATCTTTAGTATTTTTCATCATTTCCCAACCTTCTTTAATATTTTCCATCGTTTCCCAACATTCTTTAATATTTTATGAAACTATTGTGTACTTTATCATTCTTCCTCACTTCATCATGAATTTCATAATGAACGTGCTATAAAGTAATCATCGTTCTATAAAGTTAAATTAGCTGTACATTATAGCACGTGTGCAATAAAGTTTAGATTGATTCCCGGATTTTTCCAAATTTTTTTTGGATATTTCCAAAATAATTTTTTTCAATTAGAATGAAATAAAATTTAAATCAACTTTATATTTTGACTTCTGCTTTGTTTCTGAGCTTATTTGATCTAGAAATAGCCATTGAAATAAGACAAGTACATAAATGTTTCATGAAATTACCTATAACATTATTATTTTGGCACGACGTGCTATAGAGTTTTAGGACTTCATTTTTCTCTATATCTCGATGGTTCTCGACAATGAGAAAATTTCTGTCGTTCCTGACGTCATTTCTTATCCTTCCTCACATCATATTCCAACATTTTTTTATATTTTCAATCATTCCTCACATCGTTTCCCATCATTCTTTAACATTTCCCATCGTTCCTTACATCATTTCCCAGCATTCCTCACATCATTTTCCATCATTATTTGATATTTCCCATTATTTCCCATCATTCTTTAATACTTCCCATCATTCATCAAACCATTTCCCATCATTCCTCAAATCATTTCCAATCATTCTTTAAGATTTTCAATCATTCCCATCATTCTTTAATATTTCCCATTGTTCCTTGCACTTAATTCCTTAATACACAAAATTCTCCATTAGCATTGTTTAATACACATCATTTATCCATTAGCATTCTTTAATACACATCATTTTCCATTAGCATTCTTTAATACACATATCATTTTCCATTATAATTCTTTAATACATATCATTTTTCATTAGCATTCTTTAATACACATAATTTTCCATTAGTATTCTTTAAGACAAACCATTTTCAATTAGCATTCTTTAATACACATCATTTTCCATTAGCATTCTTTAATACATATCATTTTCCATTAGCATTCTTTAATACATATCATTTTCCATTAGCATTCTTTAATACATATCATTTTCCATTAACATTCTTTAATACACATCATTTTCCATTAGAATTCTTTAATACATGTCATTTTCCATTAGCATTCTTTAAGACACACCATTTTCCATTAGCATTCTTTAATACACATCATTTTCCATTAGCATTCTTTAATACATGTCATTTTCTATTAGCATTCTTTAATACACATCATTTTCCATTAGCATTCTTTAATACACATCATTTTCCATTAGCATTCTTTAATACATATCATTTTCCATTAAAATTCTTTAATACACATAATTTTCCATTAGCATTCCTTAATATTTCCCATCATTCCTTTTCGATAAATGTTTAACCTTTAAAAAAATTCTGTCCTAACTAACTATAAAAACAACCACAAACTTGCCGACGTTCAATGATAAATCAAATCTTTTGCCTTAAATAAATTCTTTTTATTGTCATTTAAATGATAGATAGACAGTCAGTTGTAAATATAAAGAAACAAACAGTATAAATTCCGTACAGTCGTCTCTGAAGTCTCAACCTTTGTTGGTAACCCTGCATTAATATTTTTTTAAGGAGGTGAAGTAAATAAAGGTCCAGGCTATGCAACTGTTAAAGGGTCTGATTATGCAAACAAGTTTATGGAACCTACTGCAGGTAGAATATTAGCTTTCATTTAAGAAATCAACTAAACTGAAACTTTACGTTAATCTTTTTATACTTCTATCACCAAAATATATGTTTTAAGAAATTTTGGATTAATAAATTATGAGAAGTGATTGAACCACATCTCTCTAGTTCAAGGCTAGTTCAACTTTCTCTCGATATTTATTAATTACAATCTTAGGTTGTGTTATTTTGATTCAAAGAATACGATTGTAAATAAAGATATTTAGAAAATGAAGAGAATGTAAATTTAGAAATTTGGGATTAGTTAATAAACTATTGTTTATTTTTAATATAATTCAGTTAAATATGATTTATTTTTAATATAACTTAGTTAAATATTGAGACTGTTTCTTGGTTTTCAGCAAATACCAAAACTTGAATATTGTATGCCGATATTGTATGTAGATATTGTATGTAGATATTGTATGTAGATATTGTATGTAGATATTGTATGTAGATATTGTATGTAGATATTGTATGTAGATATATTGTATTTGAAATTTTAAAAGATCGCCTCTTGAAACCGCCTCCGATGATAAACTAGAGAAATACTTTTTTAATAGTCGTTGCCGGGCCACAAATGTAATTTTTTTTATATTTAAAAACAGACCGAATTCACAGTTTGAAATATCTAAGGTCTATGACATAAATTATGCTGCTAAGATATAGGGATTAGCAATGAGCATGGTAATAATATAAAGAGTGGACATTGGGATTTATATAAAAAAAACCCTACACCTCAATTGGCTTAATTACAAAGCCACAGAATGTTGTCTTTCCTATAATTTAAAAAGATTTAAGGACTTTTTAAACATATCTCTCACCAAAACCTTGTTTGATTTTACTTAATTCTATTCTGATAAAGTCCTAATGCATCATCTTCTACTTTTGGTTCATCTTTGGGGATTAGAAACTTAAGTTTGTAGCAAAGACTAAATTTCATATTTTCTTATTTTACCACCGTATCTACTTATTGCAGGGGGTAAGGGGGACTGGGGAGCTGCCGCCATGATTAAAAATATTTCTTGATTTATTAATTCAATAAGTAAGTAAAGTGAAATGTAATGAAGTGAATACAATATTAGAATAATTAAATACCCCAAACCATTTCGAAATTACATGAAATGGTGTTCAAAATTATGAACTGAGTTCCAGGGATATCTCACAAATTTTTGTCCCCTTAACATTCTGTTCTGAATTTCGTACAAAATGTTCCAAATTTCTTCTATTATTGTAGAGCACATTTTTCTCTAGAAAGTGCCTCCGACGACGACGAATCAGAGGACTCTTCCGGAGAAGGTGCCTCCAATGATGAATCAGAGGACTCTTCCGGAGAAAGTGCCTCCAATGATGAACCAGAGGACTTGACTCCAGAAATTGCCGCCGATGATGAACCAGAAGACTTGTCTCCTGAAATTGCCACCGATAATAAATTAGAGGACTTGTCTCCAAAAATTGCCTCTGAGGATAAATTAGAAAAAGCGTCCCTGGAGAGTGCCTCCGACGATGAACCAGTAAGCTCTACCTGTAAGACTATCGGAGGTCCTGGCGTAGGTTCTCCCTGTATATTTCCGTTCTACTGGGAGCGGACTAGAAAGAACTACACCAAGTGCACCAAGGTACAACAAAGAAATTTACTAGGAACTCCCATACAGGGTTACCTACAATTAATAAGACTATAAAGACGACGTAAGTTAAGTCTTCAGCCATAAATATTTACTTTCCATAGATTGTTTAATGATTTGAAAAAGATAGAACCAAGTTAACAGTTGTAGGTAATTTTGAAAAAAGGAAGTCTCATTCTTTGTGTGTAATCCTTGTTTTTTAATAAAGTGTACTGCAGTGTCCGGGAGGAATATAAACAAAACTAAGTCTGTAGAGCACTGTGTTTGTTTACATTCCTCCCAGAAACTGTAGAGCTCCTTATTTGTAAACAAAGCCATGCTAGTTCCTCTTTTTTCAACAAAAGTCTTAATATGTTAAAATTACTCTTAGAAACTATAGTGCACATTTTTTTACAAATAACGTTCTAGGGGTTCCTGGTCCAAATTCTTTGTTTTGAACTAAACTTTCGACGTTTTTAAGTGCAATTTTACATTAAAAATTCATGAAATACCCACTTTTCTTTGAAATGACTGATTTTTTATCAAACAGTAGTCAGCGTATACATCAATACAATACAGATGACTTTTCTTTTTAAGTTTGGATTTCTAAAAATTTTTTTCAAATTACAAGCTTATTAACTTCTCCTGGTTTCCATTGTAGAAATAAAAATGGAAATTCGTCTTCATAGTTTTGAAATATATAACGACCACTGTGTGAAAAGAGATTTGCAAGTTCTTTGATAAGAACTTATTGATGTTATTCTTAATCTAGTTTTTATATTTTAAATGTATCTAATTATTTGGTTTGTGTTTAGATAAACATTGATTATAATTATTTTAATTTTATTTTCAGGACGTGAATGTTAATGAATTTTGGTGCTCAACAAAGGAAACTAGAAACTTAATTCTTTTATCGATAATTAATCATGAAGAGTAAGGAATTGCTGTTTAATGTGTATAATTATAATTAGAAAAGACCTGATGCCGCGTTCTTTGATCATAAAATCTAATTAAATACACACCAAGCAGCTTGTAACTACACTGCATCAATGACATCTGGTAATAAACAAACATCGGCATTTACGCATTTTAAGGACTGGTGACTTAATTTGAAGAGTGGAATATCCGATACAAAGGTACCTTTGAAAAATTGCATAAAAGTCAGTTCGTTCAGGGGCGGATACATGGGGGGGGGGTCGGGAGACATTCGCCCCCCCTTGACAGATTCAGGGAGGGGCGTAGCCCCCCTTGAATTTGGAATTTTTTGTTCCTATTTTCAAAGTCAAAAAAAATTTTCGCCTGCATCGCGATTTTTTGTTCCTATTTATGATTTTTTTGTTCCTAAAAATTCTTGCCCCCTCAGTTAAATCCTGTAAACGCCCCTGAGTTCGTTATTTGAAAATTTAAAGAGAGACAAAATACATACTTTGATCGACTTGACGTCTTTTATTACGTTTTTTATTTCAATAATACATTGAAAATCTAAATGGCATTTTATTTTATACATTTGCAAGGGACCAAATTTAATGAATTTGAAGTGTCTACCGCCGATTCAAATTTGTATCGCCGATTCAAATCCTTCCTTAATCTTTAACTTTGAATCGATGGCTCAAATTTGAATTGGCGCGCCAGGACAGTAGCCTACTGCCACTAGGTACTTCAGCTACGTGGCTCAAATTCATTAAATTCGGTCCCAGGTATTTAAAAATGCTTAAGCAAACTAAGAATGTTGATAAATGGTTGAAATTATTAAGCCCAAAACAAATATCATGAATCATAGGACACCGGGAGAAATGCAATATTTTTGATCACTATGAAATGCGGGAGTTTTTAAGTTGTGTGCTGCTAGGTGACTAAGGAAGGCCATCATATGAGCGGTAGGTGGGGTGAATGTGATCTAGATTGTCCTGGAGTAAAAGATGAACCAAAAACCTGTAAAACTGTGAAGGGGAACTCCTGTCAGTTCCCTCAGATTGAAGGAAACCATCAGAATTATTAATTTAAAGGGAATCTAGGCGTAATTTCAAATTATTTAAACCGTTGTCTGGACAAGGATGGATGAGATATATCCTGAATTCTCTACTTACAAATTTATTAATTTTAATCGTGGGTTTTCTTTCAAAGCGGAGACGATGAAGGAGTTTGTGATAATTGAACACGTTTTAATATAGAAACTACTACTACTTAGACAGATGTTTTAATATAGAAACTACTACTCAGACAGATGTTTTAATATAGAAACTACTACTTAGACAGATGTTTTAATATGGAAACTACTACTCAGACAGATGTTTTAATATAGAAACTACTACTCAGACAGATGTTTTCTATATATAAATTTGGCTTGTCTGTTTGTTTGTCTGTTTGTTTGTTTGTATCCAATAAACGTCAAAACGGCTGAACCGATCGGGCCCAAATTTTTTGTGGGACATCTAGGGACCCCAGGGAAGGTTTATGAATGATCAAAATTTCAAATATTTGTCTCCATCAAAATTCGATCTTCATTAAATTTTTGAAAATTTTGAAAATCCACGAAATTTTTTGTGAAAATCCGCGAATTATTTTTGTTTTGTTTTACGATGTACACAAAGAGAACATGTTCACAATTAATTTAGAAGATGGGCGCGAAGCGCCCTATAAGGCTAGTAATATAGAAACTACTACTCAGACAGATGTTTTAATATAGAAACTACATCAAACATAATGGGTCACATCTAGAGTCACTTTAACTTAATTTTATTTTCAATTTGAAAATTTGAAAATCCGGAATTGCCATTGAACTTTTCTTGGGATAATTCTATTTTTTACAAAACTTGTTTAATCATTTAATTTCTTAAATGAAATTTTTATGGTTCGCAGGAGATATTCTTTACAATGGTTGTATTTCACCAAAGTAAGAAAATTCTAAACTAAATGAGATTTCTTAAAGTTTGACATTTACGTAAAGGAATTGAGTCTTTGGCACAAACTAAAATTTTCAAATTCCTTAATCTTTGAAACCTGACGATATAAAGCTTTGATATTTCAAACTTAGAATATTTGATCTAACAGAATTAATTGATGAAATTTCTATGGTCTACGACATAGGGGATGCAAAGATATAGAAATAGTATTAGAGTTTATTGCAAGAACTCATTTCCTTTGAGGAACGCATTGTCTCATATTTCTTTTGCATTATATTTTTTATAGAATTCAATAATTCAGTAAATCATTGATTTTTTTTTCTTAAATCAATAAAAATTAATTTTATTTATTTTTAAATGCGATAAAATATTTTAAATTTTACTTTAATTATTCTTATATTTTTATCAAGGTTTAATTCTACGTCCTACTGCTATATACAGGGGAAGAAGGAAAACTGTCCTGAAACCTGTCCTCAGGAAAACATTACAATAGTATTTTTGTGACAAAAATAATATTTTTGGCTTAAAAAGTTTGTAAATCTAATTTTTAGTGACTCTCCATTTATTACGTGGCATGTCAGATTCATAAAGGTACCCATAAAATCTTTCTTTGATTAAGGAGATCCCAGTTGTTTTTGTTTGAGTTAGATATCAATGTTTTTAATTTTGAAAACTGATTATTTTAAACTTTGGTTTCTGTAGAAAATGATTTGCGGATTTATGCTGCAGGAACAATTATGGAAGTAGTCAGAAATCAAACTTGTTGTGATCGAAAAATGAAAATGCATTCGTCATAGTTTCTGAAATATACGTTTCAAGGGTACTGTTGTTATTCTGATATACCACTCAATACAGGGAGGGTGACTAGAAATTACTAAAAATCAGAAAAAGCCGTCTTAGAACGTATTTTTTTCAAACCATTAAAGGCTTAAACTATTCTACACTCAGCTCATAGACCACAATTCAACCTGGATTTTAACCAGAAATCTCTGTAATAGAAAGAAAACTTTTCGACTCAATTTATAACTTTAAGAAGAGCAGTAAAAATGTTGACAGGCCAAATACACTTTTAATAATTGTTTTATAAGTTAATTTTAAAGTAGAACTATTTGCTGTGTAATTTTAACCTCATCAAATAAAATTAATTGAGTGCTTTCATGTCTTCTTTGCAATACAGTACTCTGTCTGAAGTTAAATTACGGACTCAGGACGGTTTGTTTATATTAGAATATAACAACATTATAATGTTGTTGTACAGGAGATAATGGTTGTTTTTAAAGAGAAATCCATCAAAGAAATATTTGCTGAGCTGAACAATTATCCTACAGTTGCAACAGCATTACCTCAGTGAGTATTCACCCATTTACCCTTTCCCTTATTCACTCAATTCATCCTATTCATCCATTTACCCTATTCATCATATTCACCCATTCACCCAATTAATCCTATTCATCCAATCACCCTATTCATCATATTCACTCTATTCATCCTATTCTACCATTCACCCTATTCATCATATTCACCCAATTAATCCTATTCACCCATTCACCCTATTCATCATATTCACTTTATTCATCCTATTCTCCCATTCACCCTATTCATCCTATTCACCCTATTCACCTTATTCACCCTATTTATCCTATTCACCCTATTCACCCTATTTCCCTTATTCACGGCCATATTCACCTTTTTTCACCCATTTTAACCCATCCTATTTTTGACCAATTTAATCTTTTCACCCTATTAACCCGATTCATCCTTTTCATCCAATTCACCCAATTCACCCCATTCACCCGATTCACCCCATTCACCCAATTTATCCTATTCATAAAATTCACCAAATTTATCCTATTCCCCTTATTCACCCATTTTTACCTATTTTACCCTATTCATTTCATTCACCCAATTCACCCAATTATATTTTAGCGCTGAGAAGAAGTGCAAGGAAAGTCTGGAGAAAAAGTTTAAGAACGCAAAACCCGGAGAAATACCTTCCGTTGCTAAAACTGCTGAGAACCTTGAAGACGCCATTTCTCTGGTACGTTTTTATGAGAGTTTTAAAACTGTTTATTTTTATCATTTTAAAGAGTGAAAAGCGCAGAAAAAGGCTAAAAATCAACAAAAAAGTTAACTTTGAATTTTCAGGTTTGCAAAAACTCTAAATATTGCAAGAATAGTAAATCACCTTTCTGCACAACTCCAAGGTGATTAATAAATATTTATAACTTTTATTTTCACCTCCACTTTATCCCAATGTAAGCCCTTATTTTTGTCGCATTTTACCTATATTTTATTCCACTGTGAGCCTTTGTTTAAACATTATTTACCTAATTGTAGTTTTCACTTCCATTTCTATTATTCCAAACGATCCCGGTTTTAGTGACCCACTGTAAGTAAAAAAAATGGCTGAAGTGGTTAAAAAGATTGCCTTTTAAAGGTTTTGAAATTTTTAATACTTTCTTTTTTTTCAGTTACACGATCACACTTCGGAGAGAAATTGATTGCCTTATTGAGTGCTCTTATCCTGTCTAGTGTCTAAACCACAGTGCAGTTCTATGATTAAAATTAACAATTTGAAAAAAGCGACTTTATCATAAAATCAAATTGTCAGAACATTGTAAAATTCAAGCGTTTTTTTATCTATTGAGATTCTATTTTTAGAATAAAAGTACCCTGTGAAGTCCAAAAACTAAAATCTTTAAAATATGCTAAATGATGGTAAAGTGAAAGAATAAAAAAAATACACGAGCAACCATTCAATTTACGTCAGATTAAAAATGAATGAATGAATGTTCTGAAAATTTTATTTTAAATAAAAGATTACTTTCGATTGTTATTTCGCTCTTTTGAAAATAGTGCAGCTTACTCTGTACATAAAGTACACTGTACAGTGCAGTACTTTGTACAGTGCAGTACTCTGTACAGTGCAGTACTCTGTACAGTGCAGTACTCTGTACAGTGCAGTATTCTGTACAGTGCAGTATTCTGTACAGTGCAGTACTCTGTACAGTGCAGTACTCTGTACAGTGCATTATTCTGTACAGTGCAGTGCTCTGTACAGTGCAGTACTCTGTACAGTGCAGTATTCTGTACAGTGCAGTGCTCTGTACAGTGCAGTACTCAGTACAGTGCAGTACTCTGTACAGTGTAGTACTCTGTACAGTGCAGTACTCTGTATAGTGCAGTATGCTATACGCTGTACAATCCAGTTCTGTAAACGCAATTGTGCTTTACAGTGCTGTACAACATAATTGTACTGTACAGTGCTGTTCAATGTAATTTTACTGAACATTTATGAAAAGCAAAATTAGTAGTTTGTATTCTGACAACTCTAACATATCACAAAATAGTTTTCATAAATAATAAATATTATAAATTTAAGTTTATAGAAAATTATTTCAGTTTTATAAAATATTCTAAATAGATTTTACCTTTATTCATTTTAAATAATTCATGTGAAAAATTTTATAATACAAATTGTGTTGAACAATGTTAGTGTTTATACATAAAATATTTATATAATTACTCGCTGAGAAACCACAATTCTCTTTACATTTTCACTTAAACTAATGCTTTATTCCCATTTTGTTTCATATAAACCTCTTTGCGACGGAATTGTGACGTGAAAAATTTATTTTTATGACCATTCTCTAGAATTCCAAGTAATCAATTTTGATTCTTTAAAATGACTTTAGAAAAATCTAACTTATAGTCTATTAAAATAATTTTAGAAAGATACTTGATAGAAAAATAGGATAAATCATAGCAAACCAAGGTTCATTTTCTGCTGCAATTTTGATCATATTTTGTCTAGATATATATATATCTATGCAAATTTCTAATAAATGTCCATTCTGTAATACGCCTTCGTAAATCTTTCCATACGCCTTAAATTTTTTTTTTTTTGGTCCTATCAGTCACTTCGAAGACCGGGGAACACTAGACGAAAATATGAATTAATAGGCTTTTAGGGCGCCCATCTTCTATTTAAATTGTGAACATTATAGAGGACGTGGGTCAGACTCTAATAAAAACGCATAAAGTACTTCCAGTATCTATATTTCTTATAACTTATTAGTAGAGGGTTCAGAACATGAGTCTACATCAATATCACACGTGTTAGACTGTCCGTCAGTACAATGCCCCGTATCCATTCTATCTCATTCCGTTGAATCTTGTGGAACTTGTTTAAGGCGGCCAGGCATCGTCTTTCACAACATGTTCTTTTTGTTTACATTTAAAAACAAAGAAAATTTTTTTTTGCGGATTTAAAAAAAATTCGCGGATTTTCAAGAATTTTTTTTTTTTTTAAATTAAAAACCATTAAAACACATTTTTAAAAAAATTTTTATCATTCATTAACCTTCCCTGTGGTCACGTAATGTCCTACAAAAAATTGGGCCCGATCGGTTCAGCCGTTTTGACGTTTATTGGATACAAACAGACAAGCCAAATTTATATATAGAAGGAGAAAAATGTTAAGAAAAGATTGGAAGACCATAGAGAAATAAATAATTAAACGCTTGAACGCCTTAAAGGGACTGAAGCCACAATTTCAAGTGACGTCCAGTTGAAAGAGTGACGTATTCGATTCACAACAGTAGTACACTTAAAAGCTTTGTTTAATTAATCTTCTCTTTGAAATGTGAAATTACTACAGTCCCTTTGAGAAAATTAAACAAAAATTAATCGTATAAAAATTAGTTGTTAATTTATATAAAAGGTAGATTACTCTTGTATATTGATCAAACTTGTTGGTACAGTAAAAACTCACTACTCCCTACCCTACACTGACTCTACTCTATTCTACAGAAATCCAATACAGAATTGATAACTCTACTCTACTCTCTTCTTACAAAAACAAGTTTTAAGATCCAATTAAACTCCAACCATGTTCTAGTGGAAGAGTTTCTAGCAATATAGTAAAAGGTCCTGTAGAACTCTAAGATGTCCGACGTGAGCTTGTTGATCAGGAAGCAGGAAAAGAAGATGACAGATATCCTCGTCAAGAAAACTCATTTCTCATTCGGAGAAATAGGAAAACCTCATAAATAATATTGTTAACATAATTACCTGGGGTTTCTAAAGGTTTAATTGTAAACTTGCATTCATTGATTTTTTGTTCATTTCAAGGTTAAATCACTACAAAATTTTACCTTTATATTTTCTTGTATTTCAACAATTTAGTTTATTATATCTAATATTCTTATTATTTTTTTTATCATTATTATTATTATTATTATTATGAGTATCAACATTAATATCTTTATCATTCACATTTTTATTATTATTTTATTATCATTATTATGACAATGTGAGTTAGTGCAGTACTCTGTACAGTGCATTATTCTGTACAGTGCAGTGCTCTGTACAGTGCAGTACTCTGTACAGTGCAGTACTCTGTACAGTGTAGTACTCTGTACAGTGCAGTACTCTGTATAGTGCAGTATGCTATACGCTGTACAATCCAGTTCTGTAAACGCAATTGTGCTTTACAGTGCTGTACAACATAATTGTACTGTACAGTGCTGTTCAATGTAATTTTACTGAACATTTATGAAAAGCAAAATTAGTAGTTTGTATTCTGACAACTCTAACATATCACAAAATAGTTTTCATAAATAATAAATATTATAAATTTAAGTTTATAGAAAATTATTTCAGTTTTATAAAATATTCTAAATAGATTTTACCTTTATTCATTTTAAATAATTCATGTGAAAAATTTTATAATACAAATTGTGTTGAACAATGTTAGTGTTTATACATAAAATATTTATATAATTACTCGCTGAGAAACCACAATTCTCTTTACATTTTCACTTAAACTAATGCTTTATTCCCATTTTGTTTCATATAAACCTCTTTGCGACGGAATTGTGACGTGAAAAATTTATTTTTATGACCATTCTCTAGAATTCCAAGTAATCAATTTTGATTCTTTAAAATGACTTTAGAAAAATCTAACTTATAGTCTATTAAAATAATTTTAGAAAGATACTTGATAGAAAAATAGGATAAATCATAGCAAACCAAGGTTCATTTTCTGCTGCAATTTTGATCATATTTTGTCTAGATATATATATATCTATGCAAATTTCTAATAAATGTCCATTCTGTAATACGCCTTCGTAAATCTTTCCATACGCCTTAAATTTTTTTTTTTTTGGTCCTATCAGTCACTTCGAAGACCGGGGAACACTAGACGAAAATATGAATTAATAGGCTTTTAGGGCGCCCATCTTCTATTTAAATTGTGAACATTATAGAGGACGTGGGTCAGACTCTAATAAAAACGCATAAAGTACTTCCAGTATCTATATTTCTTATAACTTATTAGTAGAGGGTTCAGAACATGAGTCTACATCAATATCACACGTGTTAGACTGTCCGTCAGTACAATGCCCCGTATCCATTCTATCTCATTCCGTTGAATCTTGTGGAACTTGTTTAAGGCGGCCAGGCATCGTCTTTCACAACATGTTCTTTTTGTTTACATTTAAAAACAAAGAAAATTTTTTTTTGCGGATTTAAAAAAAATTCGCGGATTTTCAAGAATTTTTTTTTTTTTTAAATTAAAAACCATTAAAACACATTTTTAAAAAAATTTTTATCATTCATTAACCTTCCCTGTGGTCACGTAATGTCCTACAAAAAATTGGGCCCGATCGGTTCAGCCGTTTTGACGTTTATTGGATACAAACAGACAAGCCAAATTTATATATAGAAGGAGAAAAATGTTAAGAAAAGATTGGAAGACCATAGAGAAATAAATAATTAAACGCTTGAACGCCTTAAAGGGACTGAAGCCACAATTTCAAGTGACGTCCAGTTGAAAGAGTGACGTATTCGATTCACAACAGTAGTACACTTAAAAGCTTTGTTTAATTAATCTTCTCTTTGAAATGTGAAATTACTACAGTCCCTTTGAGAAAATTAAACAAAAATTAATCGTATAAAAATTAGTTGTTAATTTATATAAAAGGTAGATTACTCTTGTATATTGATCAAACTTGTTGGTACAGTAAAAACTCACTACTCCCTACCCTACACTGACTCTACTCTATTCTACAGAAATCCAATACAGAATTGATAACTCTACTCTACTCTCTTCTTACAAAAACAAGTTTTAAGATCCAATTAAACTCCAACCATGTTCTAGTGGAAGAGTTTCTAGCAATATAGTAAAAGGTCCTGTAGAACTCTAAGATGTCCGACGTGAGCTTGTTGATCAGGAAGCAGGAAAAGAAGATGACAGATATCCTCGTCAAGAAAACTCATTTCTCATTCGGAGAAATAGGAAAACCTCATAAATAATATTGTTAACATAATTACCTGGGGTTTCTAAAGGTTTAATTGTAAACTTGCATTCATTGATTTTTTGTTCATTTCAAGGTTAAATCACTACAAAATTTTACCTTTATATTTTCTTGTATTTCAACAATTTAGTTTATTATATCTAATATTCTTATTATTTTTTTTATCATTATTATTATTATTATTATTATGAGTATCAACATTAATATCTTTATCATTCACATTTTTATTATTATTTTATTATCATTATTATGACAATGTGAGTTTAGAAAGATTACTGAAACTATACAGAGAGCATGCTACAGGAGAGTCAGATAAGGTAAATATTTATATAAACATTAAGAGCTAGGAAAATCTTGTGAAGGTTTTACAATTTTAAAAAACATACTCATACCATGGATCTATCTGATCTGTCACTTGTACTCATCTGTCGAACTATGTACACTGTATATTGTATGGAATTTATTAAATCTGTTTTCCAATATTCATGGTTTCCATCCGCTTTTGCACTTGTTTTTTCTCTATCTAATCATTAAGATGGTTTATATATTATAGAGTTTCAGGTTGTGGTTAATCTTGTACAGTGTACAGTGTACAATGCACATGTCAAATGGCAATTTTGGCTGAAAGTCTTTTCAGATCAATCCATGTTTCAATATTTAGATGGATCGAACCATATTTTAATATTTAGATGGATCAAACCATGTTTTAGTATTTAGATGGATCGAACCATATTTCAATATTTAAATGGATCGAATCATGTTTTAGTATTTAGATGGATCGAACCATATTTCAATATTTAAATGGATTGAACCATGTTTTAGTATTTAGATGGATCGAACCATGTTTTAGTATTTAGATGGATCGAACCATATTTCAATATTTTTAAATGGATCGAACCATGTTTTGATATTTAGATGGATCGAACCATATTTCAATGTTTAGATGGATCGAACCATGTTTCGGGAATTTCTTCATGAATCATTTGATATGACAGACGATATTCTTATGGATAGAATATTCAAGGTAGTATACATTTACAGGATACTGTAGAATGCATTATACTCTAGGATACAGCTTATTAATCTAGGATACTCTAGAATACTCTAAAATACCGTAAAATACACTAGGATACTCTGGGATACTCTAGGATACTCTAGAATACTCTAGGATGCTCTAGGATACTCTTGGATACTCTAAGATACTCCAAGATACTCTAGAATGCTCAAAAATAATCCAATCCAGGATACTCCAGGATACTTCAGGATACTCTAGGATACTCTAGGATACTCTAGGATATTCTAGGATACGCTAGGATACTCTAGGATACTCTAGGATACTCTAGGATATTCTAGGATACGCTAGGATACTCTAGAACACTCTAGAACACTCTGGGCTCCTTTATCATACATTAGGATACTTTCTAGGATACTCTAGAAGACTCTAGAATAATCTAGGATTCTCCAGGATACACTAGAATAATTTAGAATGCATTAGAATACTCTAGGATACTCTAGGTTACTCTAGGATACTCTAGGATACTCTAGGATACTCTAGGATACTCTAGAATAATCAAAGATTCTCTAGGATACTCTAGGTTACTGTAGGATACTCTAAGATAATTTAGGATACTCTAGCATGTTGTAGGATACTGTAGAATACTCTTTTTAAGATCTAGATATTTATTATCTCCGTATCGAGATTATATCAATTGTACAAAATTGTTCACATGTATTTAATACAACTATTTTACGATACTATCGTGTACATATATTCTTAAACTAAATAATAAAAAATCATACGGATACATTTTATCGTTTTTTCCTTTAATTAGAAATTTGGATTTTGGGATACTTGGATCCTGCAAGACATACAAATTGAGGAGTGCAAAAATGAAAGTGTAGAGAATAAATTGCATATAATTAGTCGGTGACGAAGATTTTTTTAAAGAGTCGTCTGCATATAATTTGAGCATTTAATGGGAAAGTCAGTTTGAGCAAGCATTATAAAGTTTTTATGTAACAATGGTATAATGTCAATGTATGCAATATGGAAGAAACTTCGATTGTGCTGACGAAGAACATTGAAAGTTCAACGTTGGTATGGCACTACATTAGTTAAACTATGTCGTCTTGATGCTAATTAGCCGACGCATTTATGGAATACGATATATTTGAGGTACATACTGACAAGGAACATTGATGGTTCCTTCCTGCATGTTCCTTTTTTCTCTGTAGTTAATAATCTACACGGCCAACGTGACGATAGCAGGCGCCAGAACAAGAAGTGTTAAACATGAAAAAGCTTGTTGGAGAAGCATTTAGTTTCAAATGGAACAAAAACACATTATGCTTGAGAACAAGACTCACGTAGAACATTGGTTCTGCGCTACTATCTAGGACATTGAAAAGAGATCAGTGCTTAACCTCTTCATTTCTCTCAAATCTTCAAGGTATAGCAAGGTATGGTGCACGTTTATATTGTGCAAAGATTTAGAGATATCGGTGTAGCGTAGTTATCTCCCCTTCTTGAGACATCATGATTTCTCGGCGGTGAGGTTTGACGGTTCAGGAGGCGTTACAGTTTCCACAGACGTTATTATGTGCTGAGTGATGAAGCTGTTGGATCCGCTAGGTTCTCTGAGGTTCATCGCTCATTCGTCCTCCAGGTTTAACTAGGTAAAGAGAGAACCATGACGAAAGGAAAGAGATTCGAGTCTTTCGGGGTTTTAATTAAGCATGTTGATAGAGTTCTAATTCTGGAGTTTCGAGTATCATTGGAAATCGAGGCTTGAGTTAAAACATTGAACTATTAAGTAAGAACTTCGATTTTAGAATACTTTAATATCATGGATGTTTTAAATCTGAAGTATCAATTTGTAGATTAAAAGATGAGAAAATCTTTAAACTTAGACAACTGCCATAGAATACATTAAATTGAAATTTTAATTGAATAATTTTAAATAGCATGTACATTAGTTCTGGTTCAAAAGGGTTTCGACCTTTGGAATCCAAAATGATCCTTGTGCACGTCCCTGCTCTCTGTATAAAAAGGATTAAGAATTCGTTTATAATGAAGGAAATCTGCCAGTCTTCCAGGGGACTTATTGAAATATATTTTTTACCGTTATTTTCCGCTGAGAGGTGAAGCTATGGGATCCACCAGATCCTCTGAGTTTCGCCGCTCATTTATCCTCCAGGTATCAGTTTAACCAGGTATAGAAAACAATTATGAATGAGGAAGAGAAAGTTCATATATTTCCCTTTGATACTAAGGCTCTTGGGATTTAAAATATAATATGTTGATAAAGTTTTAATTCCAGAATTTCGAGAATCATTGGAGTTCCAGACTTGGGATTTAGGCCGTATAAAAGGGCACTCAAACAAAGTATTTAAATTGCATATACTTAATATTACATAGCTACAAGTCTTACTTTCAGAAGAGTGATATTTAAATTGCATATACTTGATGTTGCATAATTTCAAGTCTTAATTTCAGAGATTTGATATTCCAGATTAAACTTTCAAAAGTCAGAGACTAATTAAATAAGACTTTGGCCGTAAAAGAATTTTTTTAATTTTAATTTTAGATTTCAGTCGTACGGTACAGATTCTTGGAATATTACATAGACATAGCTGGGTGAGACTAGTGGAAAATTTTCAATCCTAATTTAATTAACTTTCTTGACTTCAGAAAGAGAAAATGTATATAAAGCACACTGCCATAGAACAAGGTTTGCGCGTATTCCCACTGCATCATGTTAATTCTTATATAATCTTTTTTACCGTAATTATCTGCGTTGTAACTTGCAAATCTGAGATCTGCCGAGATGTAGAACCGCATGTCAGCGATCGAGCGATTCCTTGTCTCAACCGGCTCAGGAATTCAGGGTCAGATAGTTTCTCGTCTAACGTTTTCCTCAAGCCATTTAGCCAGGATTCCCTCCTCATGTGTGAGAAAGTTGGAATTTTAAGGCAGTAGGATTATAATGCAAAAAAGGATAGTTTTAAGAGCTTTCTTAATGTCAGATAGTAACATAAGTCAGCGAAAATAGGAAATATTTTAACTTTGTGACTATCACTGATAAGTAATCAGATAAGTCGGCAGAAATAGGAAATATTTTTATGTTTAGGAGTTAAAAAAGTAAGCAGTACTGACAGGTAGTAACATAAGTCAGCAAAACTAGGAAATATTTTAATTTTATGACTATCATTGACAAGTAATCAAATAAGTCAGAGAAAAAATAGGAAATATTTTTAGATTTAGGAGTTAAAAAAGTAAACAATACTGACAGATAGTAACATAAGTCAGCAAAAATAGGAAATATTTTTATGTTTAGGAGTTGGAATAGTAAACAATACTGACAGATAG